TCTTCTAATCACAATTTCGGTTCGGGTGTTCTATAACAGGCTTCGTTGAACCATTCATTTTTTCTTCCCGATCTACATAATAGTCTTCATGTGGCTATTTTTAGATATTTTTCCACTCTTGCTTCCATGCTTTTATCGGTTACATCTATTTGTGTATTTTCCAGAGTTTTTATTGCGGCTTGGATACATTGTTCTAAGAATCAGAGTGGCTTATCGGAACGATAGTTTGAGCCTTAATTTAAGAATACAATTTTTCATAACCTCAAATATTTACTCGGTGTGCCTTTTTCTGTTCACCACATTTATGTCTTCTCATAAAATAGGTCAACACGGGATCTACCGATTAGTAATCGTTCCTTCGCTTTTCTATAGTGTATACATCGAGAACAACACAAGCACTCAGTTATTTTTTACTGATCCTTTTAACGTATGACCTAAAAATATACTAATTCATTTTCGATCTAAAAGCTGAATTTCTGCACTGGCCGAGGCATAAACTGCGTAAAAGAACAAAAAGTGGACGTCAGCGTAATTTATATTATTATATATATATTATTAATATAATTATTGAAACAAAGCAGCCAGCGAGATAGAAAACAGTGCAAGAGTGGCCACTTTCATAGAAGGTGTTGTTTTTAAATTGACGAATTTTGGCAAAACACAACTACAAAAAGTTCGAACACTGATCATTCACGTCTCTTAAGTTAAGGCTCTGACAAAATCAATCTCACAGAATTAGTATATCTTTGTTTGAAACGAAGAGCGTTATCCTTTGTTTTGCGATACAACCAGCTTGCGTACAAAAAACTACCATATCGAAAAAGCTGAATAATTCAACGAAGCATAGAGGATATCAAGAACAAGTGGTAACAGCCTGTTAGTCCACAAATACCAGTAGAACGAACCCGCACGCATGCATACCCCAAAACACAAAACATCTCGAGAATGCAAGCTCATGCCAAACTAAATACAACAAAAAATGATAATCTTCCAAGTATTATCTCCGTCAAAAGTCCCGCAGGAGTACACTTTTATGTACATCCTGTAGGATATATATTCTACCGTATATAGAATTAGGCTTATGCAAGCAGATAATGCCAATTTATAGGTACATATGCTTTATATTATCGTTTCATTGATTTACTATGGTTTCATCTTGAAGTGTGAGGTCATAGTGCTATGTCAGGATGTATATTTTCTCCGAACATGACACGGTCCATGAACTAGATGCCAGCAAAAATCAATAACTCATACCTACTACTTGAGACAGCCCCATATTATTTCAACGGTTGACCGACTGATGACAGGATCATTCTAGGTAAATGCTGTGATAAAATAATATTTGAAAGCACATAAACAATTACTTCTTGCGATCGTAAATAAGCCATACAAATCGGCCTCTGTGCTAGATGAGATCGAATAATCGAAACTACAAGTCAATCATCCTCAAAGCAAATAATTTTGCACTAATCCAAGAACGAGTTCTTCCATTGCAAAAATAATTTCTCAATTATGTTTGACTTAAGTTTATGCCTTTTTACTGAGGTTTTCAAATGGGTTTAATATCATCCAGTGTGTTACATGTTTATCACCATGTGTGCATGCGTGCGTCCGTGTGTGTCTGTGTGTGTGTGTGTGTGTGTGTGTGTGTGTGTGCCCGTACTCATAGCAACATGTGCTACGTAATTTCTTGTCATATAATGTGTTTATGTGGGAAGCGTAAGCATTTTACTTATGCAAAAGTAAGAGCAACATCTTATTTGATCCTTTTGGGCCTTTTACAAAGCTCTATATATAGGCTTTCACTGTTCTCCTTCTGATTCTGCACACGTAAATACCAACTCGTGTTCTTAAGATTTTTCGTTCCTGTTACTACAGCCAGAATCCGCTTGAAATGCGTACACATTTGTACTAGTTATAACCAAATAGCGACTATTTAAGCTATCATTTCAAGTACTCGTATTACTATTGTGAGCCTTACTGATTACTCTCTATCGTTTACATTTGCCATGCGTTATCAAGCTCGCATACTAACTAAACGTTAAAGATGAACGCTTATTATAATAAAATAGTAATGAAAAAAGATATCACCAATATAGCAATAATAATTACCTCTTACCATCGTTGGAAAGACCATCTAATCGATACACGCGGGCTTTATACATACGCCAAATTACACAAATTCTCATAGTCAGAAAGGTCACTCAGTAACACATGCATATGCACACTCCGAGACGAGAAAAGTTGTTGTTACAAAAAGTTGCCATCGTGTCTGTTATACAATCGACCTTTCATTCAATGGAAAGTATTATTGGTATTAACAAAACCGATATCATTTGCCCTTTTGATTCGAATCCTAATATCAACAGCAACCTGAGACGGTACTGACCTCGATTCACTCCCTTCGTATTCACAGCATTTTTACAAATGCTATCCTTTTATATAAGAAACTCCATTGTTTATGCTGCTATAGACTAGGGTCTCTGTGACGGTATGGTGTAATTTTTTCCTTTTGCTTCTCGTCAGCATTAATGACATGCTAAGGCGTGTCATTGGGTGGTTTGTGCGAGCCGTTTCCAACAATCAGTAAGTAATTTCACAGTTTTTGCCCTTTTTACTAAAGTTCTGGTTTACCATTTAACCTTTGCTTTCTATATTAGTGGTATATGACAACGAACACATCGAATTGTCGACACACGACCCACTTTGCTGTGTTCTCTCCTGCAAACTATTGAATGCAGGAACCCAAAAAAGGGGCTTAGCAAGAGAGATATGATAAAGTATACCTGCTTATTATGCCCATGCTAGTTTTAACAAACATCTGTGTTTTTCCAGTTTGCACCTTCACTGACACGGAGAGTTGTTATTTTTCGCGATCTCATCATTGTGTTTTGAGCCCAATGTAAGTAATATTCGGTGAACCTTTTTGTCATGCTTTAGGGTGTAAGCTCCAAAATGATACCTAGCGCAGTGTGGTTTCGTTGCCACCCCTGTTGGTAATTGCCCATGTTGCCTAAATGTTGGTTCAAGCACTTCATTCTGCTTGCTACTGTGTTTTGTAACTGAAAATGTCAGTAGGTAGCCATGCCAGTTCTGCTGTGCTCGACAGCATCTAACACTCCTTGAGTCGTCCTCCGTCACCCTCCGATACGAAACGCTTGCGGCCGCGCGTAGGCATTGACGCTATCACCTGTTTTTAAATCGAGAGGTTTGTCAAAAATTAGCCAAAAATGTGTTCCAAGGACAAAAGTATTCTGAGCAATTTATAAGAAAGACGAAAAATTAGTAGTTTTGCAGTACTAATTCCCTACACTAGTTCATCTGCAATGTCACTTTCGCCAGGGGCTTTCGGCTAGGACGCATGTTGCCTTAAAACTTTTTTTTTTCTATCGACAAGTTCAATTAAATTAGCGACTTCGTTGTATTGGTATCGTATTATCTTTCTTACTTTTTCGGGCAAGAAGTTTCCTTCCTTATTGCATTTTTCAATAATCCTATCAAGGACAGTATAGGCAGCTGGAACATCAATGACGATATCCGACATCTCAGAGAGCACACGTTCGAAGCCCTAGAAGCAAAAATTAACAACACGAAACAGGATGCATGCTAAAACTACTTTTAAACACGTTTTAAAATCGTTCTAATAACTGTTTTAGCATATGACTGCTATTCTTTAAACCCCAATATTCAATATCCTTCAATAAATAGGTCTTGTGAAAAACTTGTTAACTTAACCTGTAATACTAAACTGTCAAGTATTGATTCGATATCGGGGATCGTCGAAATCGCTTTAATTCAAATACAGTAGCGAAGTACGCATACTGCGCAAAGAAAAGTCGCTACCGATAATATAGCTGTAGATGTGTGCAATAAGCTAGTCGACCCCCAGGCAAACAAGTCCCGACTTTTAGTAGCACAAAGACTTAACACAAAACCGACGCTGGCAATTGCCCCGAAAGTTCTTTGAGTTATGCTATGGCCTGATCTGTTAGCCTGAAACTTTAAGAAATGCGTAAGCATACCAGGATGTAGTTTTAATGTAAAAACCGCATGAGTCTATTAATTAAAATTAATTTCCTTTACAAGGCTACCACAACAGTGCCTTTGCAACACTTTTTTAATCGGTAAGATCATAAGAGCGCTCTTGTAAAGCATAATGCTTAAATAGTGCATATGGATCTATGATCAGCGTCGTAAGCAGTTTTCTGAACTTCAGCGAACAAGTAACTGAAGCACTATGAAGCTTTTCTTCTTTTCTTACCAATGAAGTCATATTAAAACTTTTGTAGATAAATATTTCATCGAACGAAGATTTGTATTTATTGAATCTCGTAACGTAAATTAGGTACTAGGCAGACGAGGCTAACTTTGACCGGGCCATATTTAAACAACGCCAGCAATAAGAGTAAGGACTAAGAGATGAAATAATCTGCGCTGTTTGAATTTGTCAAAAACATTTCAATAAGATGCTTCAATTACGTTTAAGCAGACACTCAAGATCATTCAATACCAATCCCATTTGTTAACCCAAAACATGTCATACAGTATGTTCGAAATGATATATGCACAAAAAGAAAGGGGTACCTTTTCGGGTACGACCTTTAGGTCACACCTGTATTAATATCCTGTATATAAACACATAGGTAATAAAGCGCACGTTGCTAAAACATACAGGTAGGAAAAGTCTCTGGTTAAAAGGCCTTCGGACAATTGTAGCCTTCATTTAATGTCTTGACACATAAAAGTATTAAACTGCAAATATCCAAAAGAACAATAAAAATTATTATTTAGATAAAATAGATAAATACTAGTCAATTGCCTTTGCGTAATATGAAGCCTGAAGCGTATTATTGCCTGAAGTACACTCGTAGAATAGTATTACAGGAAGTGTCCCTGTGACAGCGCAGTGAAAAACGTGTTTGAGCCCGGGCGTAAAGACCTTGTCTCGTACTGGAAATTTGCACTCTGGTATAATGCTTAACGACTTCAACACTATACGTAACACATAAAAAGGAAAGTATTATAGAAACAGTATTAGGGTGCAATATTTAGAAATGTTACCCAATTTAACTTGCTGATTGTTGCAATATTTACGCATATGCACCTCGTTCTACATAGGTCAAGCTAGACCTTCCAAGTAATAACAAAAATATTTGCCACACTATGTATAGTAGATATTAGGTGATAAAAGAACTGACAGTGTTTTCTACCTGGATGATTCATGTAGTTTGATAAGTATGAGTTGCATCAGTTCGGCGTTGGTGCTGCTTGAAAACTGAGGTTTGACAGCAGCAAATTTACAAAAATTGGTGAAACGTTTTTTTAATATATTAGATCCGCCTCCAAGATAAGAAACTTCTGCAAAAATTGGGTATATTTTTTTACAAAAGCTGTCAGAGCTCAAAAGGCGTTATCGGAAAAATTGCTATTGGAAAATCCTGCCACTTGCGTTTTGGAAGTGAGCTGTTTGTAGTGGTTTACCATATACCAGAAAAGTCGATGAAATTGAATGAAAGGTGAGCAAGAGCGATACGTGCGTAGCCATGACATCAACAACGAATTAAACATCTACAACCGGACAGTTAACCATTGCAAACAAGCTGGCCACACAAGAAAGGCTTGATGTTTGGGTGTTACGGAATTCGTGCAAAAAATTTATTTGATAGTGTTTCCATCTATTCTACAGAAACGCAGCGAGATCAGTTTTGCACGGATGATGCAAAAAAGATCACACACAACAACAATATGCAACTGAACAGAAATAAAATACTTTATAATAGATAGCAAAGCCCAGAATGATGCCAATGAAGGTGACGCCATGTGTTAGGTAGGACTGAAGAGAAATTGTGTATCACTAGCTCGTGCCGTCTGGCGAAACAATGAATTCGAATCCCTACTGTTAAAATCAATTTTACGAGAAAAATCGACCGGAACTAGTGATCAAGGAAATCGTGCTTTTCATTATGTCGACGCCAGACCACATATATAAAAAAAATTAAAAGAACTTGTATGGAAGATTTTAATGTACCTGCGGTAAGATCCGAGTTTTGCCCTACTAGACATTCATCTGTTTCTATCCCTGCAGAATTCCTTAATGAAAGAGAATTCTCCTTAATGGTGTTCGTTTCATTGAAAGCATGCAAAAATCACACATCAAATGTCACAATTTATCGTCCAGAAACTAAAATAATTATGACTTCCCAGAAAGTCATCAATCAGTATAGCGCCTATTTAGTTTAGTGATATTTTGTAATCGAAAAAAATGGTTGCTTTAATTTAATCTTAAAAACAGCCGTAAGTGTTAACTTTATGTACAGGATGTCTCGAAAATGTTTACACTGGTTAACCGGTCATAACTTTATAATCGTTTTTCTCTTACAATATAATCTATTTAAAGTGAATGGACTAAGATTAACTTTGACCAATAAAAATTCATTTTAATATGCTGGTGCAATTGTAAATATGCAGTAGAAAAACAGTATGTAATATCAGTTACAAGCGGATCTACCGGGGCAACTTACAATTAATCGGATAGAAGATGAGTTCGAAACGGATGGAACTACTTTGAGTTTTTATATAAAATTAAGGAGATCAGCAAGTTTCATTAACCAAGAAAGAGTACCAGACAAGCATAGCAAAATACTGAAAAAAATCTGTAAAATGAATGGGTGATGAGCTTGGCGTTAGCAAATTAAATCAATCGCAATCATTGTAAAGGGAAAATTTACATTATAGCAATGGTACATTATATAGATAGAGGTAGTCTGGCCAAAAAACAATTGCGAATGGTATAATAATAATAATAATAATGGAAAAATATAAATGCACACTTTTTGGAGAAGCCTCCTTAGAACGACAAAGCTACATTGAAAATAAACGGTACAATCGACAAAACTGACACACATTGAGCAGGAGCATTAGTAAATGTATCCTATCCGTGTTTGCAGGTAGGGGCATACTTTCAAACTAAAGTTTACGCCAGAAAACTAACGGTATTGTCAAATGTAAAAATAGCATTGAGCAAGGATACGCCGACACAAAGTGAAACGTTTTCTGACGGAGGATTTTGTTGGCAGTGTATTAACCAGAACAGGTATAATGTGCAAGATCTGCAATAGGAGGAAAGATTAAGAAAGAAGTTACGCACTTGATTCTTTTGCAGTTTTTATATTAGTTATATGTAAATAATTTGTACGCTTTTGAAAGCAACAAAAACTCGGAGAAGAGAATGTGCCCTAGTCACGTCACTGTTTATCGCGAATTTTTGAGACGGCACTGTCGTACTAGTTTCTTTTGAAGACACTCCCAAAACTGCACAATCAGTAGCAAGCGGTCTAGGGTATGATAACCCAGTCATCTTTACTTCAGATAGGTAGTACGAATCTTGAAGACATGTGGATCACACGGTACTTCTCTATATTCGCCGCACATCGCATGAAACATTGGCGTTTTATATATATATATGTATTTAAATTAGGCCAGATCAAAATACGTCCTTACTGAGAGATGTAACGTAATAATTGTTCATCACAATATGCGTGAACATGCGAGCCATTAGGCATAATTCGAGTATTCGATTGCGCCTTCGTCCGAATCGTCGTTGAAAAGGCCGATGATTCGAGATCTTTTTACAAGCAGTAATTTTTACTCTTATCGACGACAACAGCGACATGTTGTTGTCACACTCTATTTTGAAGTTGAATTTTCGTGCCTCCTTTACGACTTTACATAAGCTCGTAATAAGTTCACGAAAAACAGGGACTTTATTAAACTAGGGTAATGCAAAAAAAAGCCACTGTGAACTGAATTGGATAATTCTCCTCACAGTGGCTCGGGGTATCAAACTACGCAGCGAGTAATTTAGCATAGAAGGTGAAAGATAAAATGCTTAAATCTTTAAGAAAAAAAAGAAACAAAAGTCGAAAATGGTGCACAATGCAGCGAGGAAACAGGCCATTTCTAGCCGAACTACAAAGACACCAGCTTATGTTTTCTTTTATCAGCACCAGGGGATGGCGCAAAGGTGACAGAGCGCGTAGTCACAAGGACCTTTTGAGGTCGGATTGAAATGGTGATTTTAACTGTCGTACATTAGCCAAAAAGCGCTGCTTAAACTGTGCACAGTAGTATGAATTTTGAATAAACTATCTCTAAGTTGAACAGTTGAGATCCCAAAAAGGAACTGTTTTTTAGAGGAATCGCATTTTATTATCAGGTTGTAATGCTCAACAGGTGTTCCGGCTCCATCTTACAAGTTCTATGTAATTCAACAAGAGCCAAATAATGACGTAGCTATAATTTCCATCCATAGTACAGGAGTTACATTTTGCTTGTGTAGTTACGGAAAAACGACAATGCGGTAAAGTAATTTGGAAGAAAAGCGCCGCCCTGATTACGAGAATGGTGTCCGAATAGAACTAGGTGTTCACGTATGATCAGTCACTATGTTAAAAGGCAAACTGTGTTTTTGAGGTGTTTATCGCTGATGTTGTTAACGCTCCGCCGTGGCTTGAAAATTCAACTTGAATACGATCGAAAACGTATGACATTATGCAAAAAGAACGAATCCGAGCCGAACACGAAGGTTACAAACACTTCACAACTTAAGAATACAACGCCCCAAATTTTAAGAACCGGGCATAAAAGAGAACGCGCTCGAAGTGTGCCAAAGCCGAATTGTAGCAGTAGTTGCAGTTAGGGGTCTACTAAATTATTAAATTAAAAATGCTTTTCTAAAGACACTGTCGTCATGGGCCTTATCATTAGAAAGCAGAGAAAAGCAACTTTTTCACGTTAAATATGCATGCAGATATTTAGTTCAGGTGCTTCGATATGTGAAATTCCTGGGCGGCCTATTTATTGGCTAATGGCCACAAACTGAATTGATTGGGCAGTGGTTGTTTTATTGTTAAAAAATGGTTGTTTTTTGCATCATATTTAGCTGCTTATTTATGCGGTCTGTGGTTGCCCGTATAAATTTGTGATTTCTAGCGAATATGAAAACACTTCCACGGCATCTTAAATTACGGTATAATCACTTCAAAGTAAAGCTCAACCCTAGGCTGTTTATTATCTTTAGTCTTCGCCAGTATATATCACAATATACCTAGAAAACGGCAAAAGAATACAAAAAAACTGCATAGAGATAAAACGAGACTAATAATTAAATAATCTAAACACCTCCAGACGAAAAATCGATGTCTATGTGACCCAAACTTTTAGAAAAATTTGTAACGTACACAAACTTAATACTATAGCCGAATTCAAGGTAAAAATGTGGTTAGCTTGTTTTCAAAATGGCGACTTCAGCTTGAAAACGAGGCAACTGCAGGTCGACCCTCTAGCTATGAGGACGTTGAAATTCTTACTGTAATCTAAGATTACGACAATCGTGCAGAGATTTAGAATTCTCCTAATTCAACAAATCATACGCTGTTAAATTCTGTATACACGGCCGATCAGCCCCTAAAATGAAATAAGGACAACCCTTTTCTCGTAAAGACGCGGACGGGTGATAAATAATGGGTAATCTACAACAATGTCAATCAGTCCATGTTATAGTCAGAGCGCGGTGCCCCTCAAGCGAGAGCTGAAAGTGAGAATAGTCAAAAAAGGTACAGTAGAGATTGAGTTCAACTGAGATGTATTGCCTCACCTAGCCCCGACCTTATCCCTTACAATTCTATAATTCCTTGCAGAACTCCCATAGCAGTTCAACTTTGTATTTTTATGAAATGTACAAAAAACCGTTTCTTAGTTTAAAATATTCACTTGTAGAAAATGTTAATTGAAAATTGCTACCGAAAAGACGGACGAGGATCATGGTTAACAGAGGCCAATATGTAATTGCTGGAAGTTTTATTACATATACGCTCCTTTACCTACCCTTTGCATTTGTTGAGGCGTTACGATGCCACTACGGTCGCATTCCTTGAGCAGCTTCACGAGCGAGCAAATAGCAGCATCGTGCATATCCTCAATTGCAGCTATAACTCCTTCATACACTAACTCATGGTGAAAATGCGGAACCTGTAATAAGACGAGCACAATTATAGGGCAACATCTATTATTATATTATATTATTATTATATTATATTATTAATTATAGTATGACATCCCATTATGCTGAGAAGCTCTGTTTCAAATTTTACCACTAAAAGGTAGCTATTACTTTGTTGCCTTACAGAAGACTTTTCCAAGTATTTTACATAGCACTGTTGAGCAAAACCTGGGAAAATTTTAATATGCGGCTCTTCATGCATTCCAAAACCTTTATGTTAACTTGAAAAAATTCTTAATCTAGGTATAGCAAATAAGTTCTACTTCCATTATAAATCATGCTTTAGGGAAATGTATTGTAAACTAAACGCATAGTATCTAGAGAGATAAAAAATGCGTCAACAGTAGATGTGTTTGACTGTCGTGGTGCGCTACGGGTAGAAACTCAATATAGGGTACAAACCCGATCATTGGTAAAAAAGCAAATCATATGGATTCTTAGTACAAGTTTACTGCAACGTGCATGGATATCCTCATACTCTTGTAATACACTTCTGTCTTCAAGTGAGTTCTAGAGCGGATCCATCTTGGTAAATGTTCAATGTATTAGATTGCCCGAAGTTATCTGGTCAAACAACTTGAATTTAACTCGTTAAACCCTCTACGACAGAATCAATAATATTTTGAAACCTTGTATAGCATAACATTGATAGTTTGGTCTGCTATATGTACTTCGTCTTCTTGTTTACAAATTGAACTTCATGCTCTGGGAGCGTCTCAAAAGTTAGGCACTTGTACTTCACATAACAATGCTTGTTTGGGAAAATAGACCTAGGATACGCTATGGCACATTATCCTCGCAAGAGGAAGCAATCGGAAGAATATGGGAACTACAGCCATAAGCCGCTTATTTCTTCTGAATCTAGGCCGTTATGGAAGCGGGGTGATGACGTCGAGTAACCAAGCTGTTTACGATCTTGTATTATTGCCATACCACACATCTATCATATATTTGAATGTACTCATCGTTTTTTTTCCAGGCGATATCTCGCGATAACAAATGCTCTTAATATCTATTTCAAGTCCGGACATGAATTTTCGTTGGAATCTCTACATTGCCATTGAAATCGCTTTTTTTCTCTGTTTGACTCCATTAACCTCACCTTGTAGCCTATTATCTTTTACTGATGGACAACGCAGATACACGCATATTTCGCCTGTAGCGACATTGTGCTCGATACGATCTTGCAGATACACTGCATATACTTCCATCTGTTGTCAGCTTGTGAGCAATTCACTTTTTATAATTCTTCATCATCGTTGATGTTTTTTGTTATAATTTCACATTCAGAAAGATTTCATATTGACCCGATAAATAATGCATCGTAAGTGTTCTATTTTCCTTAAAAGCGTCATCAAGCCGCTATTTCGGGTCGAATGTTCGGTACTGTTTTTCTTATTTCAGCAAAACTTATCCTCCGCACATGAATCAGGAATATTTGTAAAGGACAATAAATTTCTATATTACTAAATTAGCACGAAGCACCATGCATACTTAAAACTTAAAGCCGCATTGCGAACAACTGAACTTTCGCAAGGTATCGGCGTTAAACTGCAAAAATCAACAGCATGTAATTGAAATTACGCCGTTTTTTCTTACCTGGCAGAAGGTTCGACACTAAAAAGGTAGCACTGATGTAAGTGTTTGATCATATTAAGAAAAAATAACAACACTCAACTTGCATGCGTATCTTCTCAACATTTGCAAACCACTTGTTTTCAATGATGCTGAAGCATTTTCCTAATAACATAAGGGAACGAAGAATATAGTTAGGATCATCATAAATAACAAGGGCCGTTTAAGCGCCTTGTAGGTTTCAGGTCAAACATTTTAGTTAATTGGCAATGGCAGAGGTCTAGTTTCAGATCTATCGGAGACAAAGGATCTTACAAAAAAAAGGTGCGCTCGCAACTAGAGACACCATACCTAGTCGACATGCTTATGGTGTACGTCAATGGTTCGCCCGCTTTCTTTAAAAGGTCAGTATGCAAATCTCGTTTACGGGTACCGGATCTCATTTCTAGACTCTAAAATCTTGACCAGCATTCTCTAACTGAAATACCCATAAGGCAATTTTTTCTCTTCGTGCGTTGGTTTAAAATTATTTCAATTTCATTAGGGTCGCCTATTCTATTAAACGCAGGACCCAGGCTGTGTTCTACCTGTTCATGTTTAACGAGTATGTAGCGTGTGAGTCGTTTAGCATTACGTATGATGCACTAGATATTTGACACTTTCCCTATCTGTGGATACATGCTTGAGTATATGCGTGATGACTGAGAAATTGGGTTAGCTGGTTCCTTTTACACCACCCTCTGCTGTGTGGTACCACTCTCTTAGTCCAGGCAACAACCTACATTGCACTTCTTCACTCTTGATACTTTTTGAGGGCGTTTTTTTTCACCATTCTCTGGAGTGTTCAAGTTGTACACATTAATGCTAAGTACCTGGAGCCTCCGTTATGGGCAGGATTTCATAGTATTAGTTATGTATTTTGTTGATCTGTAAATGTCGTTGGAGGTCTCTAGCTGCTACTACCACCAAAAATAAATGAATCTTCTTATTTGAGCACTGTGCCATTCTCTGTTTGGACTGTTCGATCACTTTTGCGTCAACGATATGAAGATATACATTTTGTCCCTGTTACGTATAAAATCATGTCTCAGCTGACTGAATCAAAGGCATTGTTAACGGATAAAGTTGCCCTGGCCTTCGGCGTTTCGTACCGTTCCCATTGGTTCCAGAATCAGTTTCATGCCCGAGTGTATTGACGGGATCTCCCTAAACTCGAACCCGTTTTCTGTTATTCCACTCATATAATGTTCTGAATTAATTAGGACGCAAATCCAAAAGGCTCATTAGGCTTTAATATAATCACCAATTTGGTTTCTTTTCGCTTTTTTGAGGAGTGATCTTCTTGTAGAAGCTCAGTGGCCATTTGTTAAAAGCTTTTCGGTTTTTTGGTTACAAGGACTCCACAGCCACCGGTGGTAATTTATCTGGCCTGCAGCTTTGTCCTAGGCTTTCTTCTTCCGCCTCCTATCCAGGTCCTTGTAGGTCTATTTAGTACTATCGTAACCCTTCACCGTCCTCCGTCTTTTTTTATCTCAAAGCCAGTTTTTCTGTAGCTGTCTCCCTGATTAGAATTTTAGGCAGCGGTTTGTGTAATTTACCTCGGACTATTTTGTAGATTTTTTACTATTGATCGCCTTTCACTTCTTCGATGTCACTTCTTTGTTCCACCTGCTATCCGCTATAGAAAAAGATCTCACGTCCCGTCATTAATTAGCTGGAGATTTTTTAAACTGAAGCATGAAGAAACGCTTTTCTGGAATAAGCTTATCCGCTCGATGAGTTGAAATGCTTGCGACTAGCGTTCCTCTAGCGATTTCATTCAAAATTTTGCATAGATCGTCCATATGGCTTCGAAAGTTATCATGGCTGAAATTCGTAGATATATAGCAGCTATGGATTCGTATGCCGGCCACTCTGCTCCAGATGACGCTGCTAGCGCTCTTAGTAGATAGCAATATGTCTACTGTTATTACACCTTTGTCATTAGCTAACCAAACCTATATCGACCCTTTAACGAGGATGAAAGGCCTCATCTATTAAGATTGACTTGAAGCACTACAATCACTATTTTCAGCAACGGTAGTTAGATGCCTGATTTTACACAATTTTTCAGCTTCAGATTAACGATATGGCTCTTAATCATGCATGCGTAGCGTCCTCTTTTTACTGTAGAATTGTATGCTTCAAGCATGTTGTAGTCGTTTCACTAGCATAACAAAATGCCTTGAATTTGGGTTTTAAAGAAAGCCGTTTACGATAACAGGGATGTGGATTTTTCACGTTAACTTTTTGTCGAAATCTACCATAACCTTTATTGAACAAATACGAAGGACTGTGAAACCACTGCAGAAATATCAGTTATTTAGTGCGGTTCCTGTATTTCTATTTAGTGTAATACGCAGCCTTTTTGTTAAAGGAATAATTGATTTCACACATGTGTGATATGCACAAAGTGTGTCTGCAAGTTTACACCACGAGAATGCTGAAAGGAATTCAGTAGATTGACAACTGGTGCATTAGTTTCCGCCTTTCCAAAGCTGACGGTAAACTCTGAATGCGCAACAAGTTTATGAACAAACGAATTGCCAATACCCTATGTTCTCTTGAATTATTCGTAAATAAAAAAACAAAGATTTACTAGAAACACTACATTTACTCTTTCAACTATTGGTTTGTTCAATAAATAATTACGTCTATTTACCTCGAGCTCTTTAAGACATCGTTGAGCTTCAGACACATCACCCGACGCAAGATACTCCTGCAGAATTAACTGGATTTGTTTCACCAGAGACTGTACAGGACGCATACCTATAATTAAACAGCTCATACTTAGAATATTTGTTAAGCAAAGTTTAATTAGACGTGTATCATACTAACATAAATGGAGTCATGAAATATTTGAATTTTTGAGCTCGAATTAGTCAAATGTCTTTTAACTACTCACCGCCACCAGTCCCCCAAACGTTATCCAGCCGAACCATTCCGTGAGGCATTTTGAGAAGAGCGGTGGCGTGAGACAAGCTCTCCCGAGCCTTATCTGTTAAAGAATCGGGCTCGTGCGATGACTCCTGTAGAAACTTGGGCGCCAGGCAATCATCAGCTACACAACGAGCCGCGAAATTTCCGATCCACTACAGCATTTTTTAGGTAAAACCCCGCATAGATATAAACATAATTTTGTGAGCCATAGAATACACTCTGTGGATGGGTTATATATATACATATATATATATATATATGTATGGTTTATATAAACGTGATTTTATGATTGCTTGCACAGCGGATGGAAGGCTTTTTATAGGAATAGGTCATTTGCACATCGTTTCTGGTTACAACCTTTTGTTGTGAAATCTGGTATTCGTCTCCATTGTGTTGAACATGAAGTTGCTTTTTGACACGTTCAACGATCTATTTATAAATGACGTTGAATATATCAAACCAGCTGAATTCTTAACTTTTTGTTCCTCGCATTGACATCTAAAGGCAGCGCGGTCTACGTATGCAATCTCAAGTCGTTCGGTTTCCAAATTTGGATATGATATGGATACTGCGTATATCATGAGCCGTGAATTAGTGAGGCTGAAGTTCCTCTAATCATAAAAGAATGTCTCTCAGTCTATTCCGTCCAGGTTATATTTTATTGCTGCATAATTTCCTTTCGCATATCTGAGGGTAGTTTTGAGGGTAGAAATGTTCGACACGATGTACGACACGGGGTATGCAATGTTCTTGTGTGTTGTGCAGTCGCAATACGACATACAGCATATTTGTTTTTATGCATACGTTCACCATTATAGCAAAATCTTTGAGCATTGTGCGTAATTTTAATTATATATTATACATTGGGTGAAAAGTAGAGCTACAGTTAATGAGAAACGGAAGTGAATTACGCCGGTAGTATCTCCATACCAATAATGACTATGATTTTCATTGAATGTGTTTATCATTCTCTACAATGGCGAAGTATCTCGTCAATGTCGATTTATCCAAGTAAATGTTCTAATGAGGTGAGATGGAGCGAAAAAATTTGTTACAGGACGAAAATGTACTATAGGCGAACTATATAATAGGCACCTTTCGCTAGCAAACCCCAGCATTTAAAAACAGCCAATGAAAATTTGTACGACAATAAATTATGTGACGATATCATTAGAAAATAGAAAATACATTTTAAAAGTTACTTTTTGCATGTTGTTTTTGTACATGTATATCTACTGACCTACCTATTCTTATTTCTGTTACAACTGTAACTCTACTTTTATGTTTACATGTTTTCAAAACAGAGCTTGATACGCCGTTCCGATCGTTCTAGTTTTAACGAAAGGTCCTAGTGTTCTCAAAATCGTGTGCATTCAACAACGTAAAAAACTGTGGAACGGTAGTTTAATTAGGGTGGAAGCGTATTAAAAAATCTTTAGCGTTTAAGAATGTCGCACTATGCTATACTTACCGTTGCAGCTTCCGGCGTATCAAGCGAGATGTCAGCAATCGAGTCAAGAAGAAGCTTTAATCCATTTTCATAGTCTTTTTCCTCAAGCACCCTGTATACAATATTACGGATTATAGTAAAAAACATATAAATATAAACGTACATTGATCCTCGTACTTGAAGCATATTCAAATCTATTATATCAGGAATGTACCGAACCTAGGAATTCATTTAATAAGGCGGTATGGAAGAAGAAAGACGTAGAGCGTATTTTTTTTTTAATATTTTAAACAAGATTAAACAAAAAATTTACACTTAATTGTACATTAAGTAGAAAGTCCTATCCTAAAGATCCTATCCTATTCTAAACGCTATTTACAGCTAACTATTACACTGCGAGCCCTACAGACTTGTTTTTAAGCAATGTAGTAATCCCTCGTACTTTTATTATTGATAAAAGCGGTGTACCAACAACATACACCTTAACAAGAATTAGAAAGTGAAGGAGTCAACATCACACAACGTAATCTCGAAACAAAAGGTCATAAAATTCAACAACTGTAATTACCTGTCATAGCAATCGCTAAGAAGTACGGATGACATCTCTCGGTGTGAAGGTTTCCGCTCAAGAGAAAGCTGAATTATCAGTGCTACGAGGTCAGCGCGTACTTCACTAAGATTAAGCTCTTCCAATGACATCTGAAGAATGAGAGAAGAGTGTCGTAAGTTGACAAAGATGTGATCGACGAAGATGCACGCATATGTAAAACATTCATAAAAATTAGCCATCTAAGTGTAAAAGCAATTTCAATAATAAGACACCTTTCCATCTAACACCATTCGATAAAAATACAGTGACTCGATGGGGTAATTGAGCTACCGAAAATGAAAGCGCCGCTTCGACGTTCCTCATGTTTGATTTAATTGAGTATTACTTTGGCACTTTAGAGATTATACATAATGCATATAAAGCAACCCAGCCTTCGGAGTAAAGAGATGTAGAAGGCAAGAGCGCCATAAAGTTGCTGACTGAAATATCACCAGAGCACTTTATGGAGGCCCGGTGCGAAGGACCGCGCTTAGTGGTAATCGTAATACAACCTTCACAGTTTTACATTACAGATATCTTGCAACAGTTATTGTTAGTTAACCATGCGTTTGATGCGTCCGTATGTACAATTTGTATAGCTTTTTACTAACTATGCAACGAATACTTTCAGCAAACGAATATCCAATGTTGGCTTCAATCTGCTTTTATTCCCCATCAAAGCTTGTGTAATTACGGGCCTTTCCATGCCTTAAAAAGAGCAATTGTAGGTAAGCATATACCACTATCGATTCGCTTCGAGAAGCCATAGATAAACTACATGTGGAAACGGGAATGGTAGGTACATAGCAATCTAGAAGCCGCCAGAGCGCTGAGGCATGTGTTAGAAAATGAGGCCTCTAACACATTTCAAAAACAACATTCTAATCTAACAATTTGAAAAGCTATTCAATCATCATATTTACCGGATTTTCTAGTAACAATCTACTAGGTATATCCATTAGTACCGGAGTAATACGCTCTTCAAAATCAGTGTAGGCTTAAAACGCAAGCGAGTTTTTGTATGATTTTCGATAATGTATTAGTAATCGATATTGCTAGAAAATGTGTATAAGTATAGCTCACAAATCTGACATAACCCTTATATAATACGTAAATAGGATACTTATTCTTTATGTCAAGTTTTCAAATTTAATTAAAGCGTTGATAAGTGTAAACCTGCGTCACAAGCATGATTAGCCCTAAAGCCTCGTAATTGTGGTCTTCTGGCGTTCTCCGAATAACCTTTTAGGCATCGATTGAAAGAGTATTAGTTAACTCATGAGTTTGCGAAATGCTGTTCGGATGAATATATATAACAACTTAATAAATGCATAACTTACAATAACTTCATTGGTATCGCCGTGTTCGAAGTACTCTACAATCAATGGGCCAGCCACCTTCTCCAAATCTTCGGGTCGAACAGCGGGTGCTATTGCTTCGAATTCGACATTATCTTCGCGCTCTCCATCTGAATCGTAATTTGGGTCACGCTGGTCGACGACGTCAGGTTGCATTTCTGACCCAGGAGTGCCCCACGTACCCTTGCCTCCGGCACCCCCTGAAGCCCAACAAATACAAAGACGCCATATTTTATTGAGGCACAACATTTTCGTGAAACAATTTACCTACCATGTTTCTAATCGCTGATATGTGTCGATGGTGATGCTACGAAGATGATTGCCAGTATATAAAAAGTAAACAACAAATTAGCGAAAACAGGACAAAAAAAATTTGAAATAAAGGCGAAAACTTGTTACTTAAGTTTGTATTCTTTTATTATTAACATATACATTTTATGAAGCGTGCTCTTAAGGTTCAAATGTTTCGCAGATATTTTAAATATCATATCAAAATTCGCGAACTAAGTAAGATATATCAATACCGACTTTTTGTAGAACATGGGCTTTTTCAATAAATTTGTGCCATCGCTAACAGCCTCTTCAAAACACTTCACGAAAATTTCATACAAGTGGCTGACATGTTTTTCTTACACTGGCTTGACGGGAATTATAGATTTTTTCAAGCACTGGCTCTTTATTTAACTAATGAGACCATTTTTTTTTTCGTCCAACACAAAAGGTGGTTACAACGAAAAGATACATACCACACTTCCAAAACCACACAATATCTCATATAGTATTTTTTTACTGGGACGCATTAGGATCACCAACGTAAACACAGTTGAATCGTACGCGAAGGGTATAATTGCTCTTTCTCAAACGCGTAGGAATAATTTCCCGTTGATTATCTATATACTGGACAATACTATGCGATTATTACAAAACACCTAAATTTAGCCACCAAGCAAAACTGAAATCCCACCAATGCCATGTACCACCAGATAAGTCACCCGTTTGAATGGTTAAAACTAACGAAATAAAAATTTAATGGTTGACCGTATCCTCTGCCCCTATTCCATAGAGACTTCTGTATACCAAATAAGGGATTAGCATTAGAAAAATTTTATACTCTAATGCGCTATAAGGGGGCCCTTAACAGATAGAAAATGTATGTAGAATTACTATAAGTAAAGAATCAACGTATATCATAGTCGTTTTTTAATTATTACTGTCCAGCTCATGCGTTTAAGCTCGGTATGGACATATTCACCTAAATAGAAAGAGTTTCAACTACGAACGAACTTTTCATTTAGGACCAATATTGAAGACTTTAGAAAAATCTGTACATTGAGGCTATGCGTTTTTGTAGAATTCCGTTGTTTTTTACCTAATATTTTGCAAGTGATACTGGATAAAAATGCTTGTAGGCTTAATACTTTAACCATTTGTATGGTCCTGCATAAATTTCATATTTTCGTGTGCTCGTGCACTGCAGCAGGTTTAATTTGAATTATTATGCAGCATATTTAAGGCAATCCGACTTCAAATAACAATTTCTACAATATTATTTATTTAAAACTTACCAAAGTTTAAGAGTTCAAAATTTAATTGATTTACTTAGGATTTAGTCAAGATAAGGGTTTAAGAAGTACTCAACAGGTATATATATTCAGTTTTTGTTGAGAACTGAATCATACTTCTCCCAAATTCATAAGCGCTAACAACTATTTAGGTACTGGGCACTGAAAATCAGTTTTCTGATTTCTGAAAAATCTGTGGCATAAAAAGGTGCAGTCCTTACCTTAAATGAAGTCCCCTTGTTGTTTGTGTCCGCTTTATCCACTTTATTTAATGTCAAATGAAGTAAAAGTTATGACTCCCAATTTACAAAAAAAACATTGGCGTCATAAAGGGTTAAGACAGAATTATTAGTGGACTTGACGCGTAAGTAAACTTTATATCTTAGGCAACCTATTTGATTGATTTTTTTACTTAAGTTCCATAATTACATCATATATAGAAATAAACTTGATCCTTTGCACAGAGAGTATTTACTTCGGGCTTTTTACCTAAAACTTTTCAATAGTAGCCTTTTGAATTATTTACATCCTAAGGACAAAAGGTAAACTACTAAACTAACATTATATTTTACTCTTTCCACAACTATAATAGCCATTCCGTGCGAATCTTCGTAAAAGCTACCTATTGTCATTCAAAATCAGTAAAAAATTAAGTAACATCTAATAAACTACCTATGGTAAAGGACTTCAGGTTTTTTAACAAAAAAAATTTTAAATAGTTTTAAGGCTTTCTTTCAGGCAGGTAAACAGCGCTTACAACTACCGTTCTGTAGAATCAGCATTGAGAGTTTTTATTTACTTGTACTTGTTTCTCTTTTGTTGAAAAATATGCGCACGCCTAGACTAGATTTTTATATAATGGATAAAATATTATCAAATGTTTATTTACCTTTTTTAGGAGCGCCTCTACCTCTACCGGCACGGCTTCTCCGAGAGTTTTTTAACTGAGGGCACGCTTTGGCTAGCAAGATTGCTTCAACCGTTGAAGCATCACCAGTGGATAGCGTTCTTGAATTTCTCTTTGCGCGTTTCCGAGGTACGCCCGCTCCTGTAGCATTGTTTGGTAATGCGGACGGTGGCATAACACCTACATCAAATATTTATAATGCATGTAACGACAGCACATAAAATATTTGTAATACCACCCAAGATTCAACATGGATACAAGTGCAAATTGACATAATAATCGTTTAATCATTTCACAACGCTGCCAATAGCTCCAGGTTTCACGTCAAAAAAGTGCTAATTTTTGCAGTTATACTGTTTCTCACCAGCCAATCTGCCAAATGACAACCAAATCGGGCATTAGAACAAACGTCCTGTATTCTTTTTCGATGAACATTTGTTTATTACCGTGTATACAGATTATATACTAAAACCCAACCTTTTGACATGTAACTGAGGGTTGCGATCACTTCGATAGACAGTGACGGCATTATTATAAATGTGCAGTTCTGAAGTCCTGCATCAATAATATCCATATTATGCCCTTTTTCTATAATAATGCTGTATCTGAAGAGTTGTATTTATGAGAGGGTGACTTACTTCTATAAACTGAAGTTCGCACGGCTGGCCATTGCCTGGCCAACCTGTGTACGTTTACATATGACTCCTGTATCAATTTTCGCCGTGTAATGGCGGCCTGGGTGGCGGCCCGCACAACAATAATGCGGATCGCTGTTATCATATCGCTAAACGGTTGCTTTTAATTGGTAATATGAACAACTCCTTCTACGAAGAAGTTAAAAAAAGTGCTATTCAGTCAGCAGAACGAATTGTACAATTTCAACTTTGCTTTCCTCACAAAACCGTAGCTTGCCTCGGCCCCTACAACTTGGAGTCTCTTAATCGCGGCCACTACCTATCTTGCAGTTGCAGTATTGATGATGATCATTATAGCAGAACAGACACACGTCAGATACTTTAAATGATGTGTGTTAGTTGGTACAACATTAACTAGTTGTACACTGATTAGCGAAGAAAACCACCGAACTGTTGACCACATTAAGATATGCATGACAGTTCTCATGGCTATCATCATCACGCCGTTCAACAAATATATGGAGGCGATAAAGGCGCTATGTCTCTAAACGCCCTTTGTTTAGTAAGTTTGAAGCGCTGCTGTCGTTTTTCCCCGATTTTTTAGCGTCAAAACGTATCTTTAGGTATAGCAACACGGGGCTATTTAGACTTGTCTTATCCTGAGCTTTCGATTAATAGCAAGACAGACTACTTTCCATTTTTACTATTTTTTTAATGAAAAAAAAATGCCACGCACTTACTTAAAGGACATTTACCGACTGATACATCATATATTTTTTTTATTATCTTTATTATCTTAGCCAGTATTTTTTTTACGTGTCTGTAACCGGTGTTGAAGTGTCATTCATAAAAGGAGCACTTTCTCTTTTACCCTAAACACAAATAATATAGTACTTAGAGTTTTCAATTTGATCAAAAACAGTGTTCTGTTCTCTCTGTACTCTCCAACTCTCATAATGTAGGATATCGATTCTATTTACAAATACGCATAGTCGTGCTGTATCAGCTATTATACGTTATTTGGTCTGTGACCAGCCGTGACTCCTTTCATAGATATATCAAATCAAGCCTGGTGTGAATTAATTTATGCTGAGCAATATCAAGTGCGACACTATTAGTTTGCCATCAACACGTTCCCCTTTCACTTAAGATCTATAGTTCTTGCATATTTCCTCCCTTCAACTTAATGAATTAAATAACCTTCATAGGTCCTACAAGTCAGTCAGTCAATACTCATTAAACTTTATAAGGATGGAGAATAGCTGGTACACTCGGTTAGCTGAAACCGTGCAACTTTATATTTATTAATATCCGCCGCGATAATAGTAAAAAATTTGCTATGGACACCTCGTTACCTGCGATGATCTCATTGCCACCTTTCGGTTACCGCTACCTAGTTTAGATCATATAGTTACGCGTTGGTTTAGTTATTACTTTGCTCCAGTTAAACTGTTATAGGCGAATCTGGTGGATTTTGAAACAAACAAAGTTTAAACACTATCTAAGCTAGAATTTGGTTTTGATGTGTTACATGTCTTATTTATTCACGCCAATCCCGGTACCTTTTGGATAGCCATATACCTACCATTCGCGTTCTCTATGTGACTTCGTTATTGATGAGTTCTCCAAGTAAATCAGTAGACATGCTCTGCTAGCCTACAGCTTACCCTCCTTAGGTTATAAAAAAGCCCGTAATCACAGAGATTTAGGCTGGGAAAATGGCCGGTCGAAGCCAACGTTGGATAATAATAATAATTTAATCCAGGAAGTAATTAAGGCATAGCGATGAAGTCTGGCTCTGTTATCAAGTAACCAGACGGCGTGTTTTCAGTTGTCGTAGCAACGGCCCATAAGTCTCTGTTTCACGTTTGCTGAGTATTCCACACTAATCGGTGCTCCTAATGTTCTTTCCAACTATTATTACCTTATATACACATTTGCTTGACACTGCCACCAAACTATTTTTCTTGTAAACGACGCCATCTTTTGCCTGGTTCCTTTCTTACTAGCGGTTAAAATTGGACCATGCCTTATTTATCGCAACCATATGCTCCAGACGGGTTGATTAAGTTCAAATTGCACGTGGTACCACACGCATTTCCAACTGGCCTGGAGTCAACTCACGGGAACCCTTTCTTTTTTTAAATACTTTCTGCACTTTCAGTATTTGGATTATAATTCGATAGCAGGTTATATATAAAATATCAGTTTCGGCTAACAAAGCTTTTAGACACATGAAAAGTCTTTTTGATTGAGACAATGCGTTTCTATCCTTCGGATTCCGACATCTGGTCTCCTAGCTAGCTTTCAACACTCCAGTCTCCGTTTCTGAAGCATTTGTATCGTTCACGTACAGTGCGTTCGCTCAGAGCCTCTTCTCCTAACGTCCTTACCATTTTTGACGAAATTTCACAACGATGCGGCCTTGGAGAAACAAAAAATTAACCACTGAGAGATTATTTCTTGAAACTAAACGACATTCTTCCTTCTAAATTTATTTTTAGAGTAAACCCACTAACGAGAAAACTAAGTACTTACCAGCCAAATTTTGTCTGCTATCAGCACGTAGTTAAAAAAAGTATCCAATTTCAAAGTTTGCCGTGTTCACTTGTAACAACCTAATATTTATATTACTATTCATAAGTGAACAAAAATTCTACAAAGGTTTGTGGCGTAAACTATACAGCACTACTGTAACGGCACTTGACTCCCATGTATAAAAATAAACGTAAACTACACCAACCCCAGTGCGCATAGCTTACAGTCATTACACAGCGAATGATAACTGAGAAAGGAAAACAACCAATTGAATTCCCCGGAATTCAAAACAACACATTAATAACACGAGCATCTGGCTGGTGAGGTCTTAGAGTAAGGCCTCACCAGTTACATGGGACGACTGCGATACAGTACGACAACACCGTAATTGACCATTACGACCTTGCTCTTGAATTACGTCGATCTATCATATTCATCTTTGTAGTACAACTTTAAAAATACGCAGAAGGAGCGTTATTTCAATAGTCGATAGCATATCAAGTCAGACTATGCGCTGCGGTAAATTTAAAGCTGCGGTAAATTTAAATGTACACTTACAATGTATTCATGATTATTAAGACTCGTATTTCAATTCTAACAAATGATAAATCTATTCATTTCTGCGGTGTCATACGAGCTAATCGATTCGTCGTTAATAATAATTATAATACAGCTCTACATTTTTATTCGTTGTATTTAACAAACATGGGGCAAATAGAGAAGGCTATTGTGGGCCGTAAACTCGATCACATGTGTTGTATGAATGGGCATCCTAGAGATGTAAGCTATATATTACGAAAACGCTTGCCCTATCACAGAGATTCGAGGGCGCGTGTTTCGTTTCGTATAGAACCAGAATAGAGATGTCTCACTCATATTGAATATTGTTAGGCGTCGCATTGTTTATCGTTAGCCATTCGATCACAGCAAACAACAGCGTCCGTATATCGCCTTTTGCTGTTCCTATTGCTGCGTCATGTGTCTTCATGGCTATTGTTTATCAACATGTTTAGCCTTGAACTTCCCCTATTCCCATGCAAGTTGCTAACCATACAAATAACATTAGCAATGAATGTAAAACAATATAATGCCAAATCGCCCAGACCCCAATATGGATCAACAGAATCCAGCCTGTTCTACCACAGTAACTACTAATTCGAATTCGGTCGAAAATTTCCCGCTTCAATAAAGTTTATATGATTCTTTCCATAAGCGGAGCTGCATAAGATAATCTAAATCGATGTAGGCATGATAACCAATAAACACAGAGATCAGAAACTCAAATTGGCTAGTCCGCTGTTGGCCAGACTCCACAAGATAGGACCTTCTAATACTCGCACTAGCGATATCTATTGATACCTTTGAGAAATCAGGTTAACATGAACCATGACAAGAAGAACAAATAACAAACATTTTTATGGAAGTAAGCAGTTTCATGCAGTGGTATTCAACATCGCATTCATTGGTGCTCTCATAGTGTGCAATGCTGCGTAAGAAAAAGTGAAAAATTATTTAGCAACTAGGATACTAAATGGGGGACTTTTCCAGGCCCCTAACTTTTTATTTAGCGTTAACCGACTCGTACTTTTAACATTAATGCAATATGTACACCGATTCTCATGCACTTCCTCGTGTTTTTGACTAAGTACTTTGCATCATTTTTCTAATGGGATAATTTTCTTGCCAAAATCTTGTAAGGTAAACTCAGTGTTAAATAAAGCTATTGTTTGTCTCAAACTATCAAAGTATCGCGTGCGTAAATAATGAAGCAACAGCCATATATTCTGAAAAGAGTACGCCCCATAATGCTGCTATACCTATAAAATTCAGTTAACCTATATCGTTGACATAGGCAAAAGAAGCGTCAAACGTCGTTGTTTGCTTACTGTTGTAACTGCATGCTGTTACTTTCTCACCATTATTAGTGCCTCCGTTGGCCTTGACGTCCGCGCTGGTGCTGGAGCTCATTTTGTGCCGGCAGCCGAAATAGGGGCAGTAGAATAAACAAACAAAACGGACAGATGTTATCACACTTCACCTTAAGCAACCGTACCGGGGTTGCACTGCTACCCGGTTTAAGTTCTTCACGCTATTTAAGCTTCAGCAAACGAACAGCAGCAACGGCAGTTGTGCACGGCGTTCGTAACCGCACCAGTTCTGATGCAAACTTTTTGCAACACGTTGACAAGAGTATAGGAAAAGAAGAACAGTGGCAGGGCCACGCAAAATACTCCGGGTCGTTGTGTATAATGAGAATAGTAAAACTATAAGCCACCGGTAAAAAGAAAACTGGTGTCCCAAAGCCCACTAATATGGAACGGCAACGATTTCCGATTTGTTTCGCGATTATATCTCCTTAAGTTATATGGTCCTTTAGTCTATTAGGGTGGTGAACGACGACAGCTGTAGATAGTTCGTCGTAACAAACTCGTGCGGCAGCACAAGTGACAGACTTGCTAGGGTTGGACTGGCTGTAGGTATGGGTAAGCAAGCAATGGTAAAGGTGTCTCCACGCGCGAAATTAAACCGAAACCTGCAGCCAACAAAAACGATGTCTTCCGCTAAAATCACTGTAAATGATCACCGCTGACAACCGGCCAAATGCTTGTTAAATCGGTGATGCAAATCACCAGCGAAAACAAGTGTCAATTGCTTTGCACGCTTACTGGAGAAACGCGCTACGGAAGTGCGACGTTACGCGTTGCTTCGTCTCTTTCAACAACAATCGCCGGGGTTAGGCAGTTAGACACAACATCACGTAGTGGGACGCGCTGCAAGAAAACTCGAAACTTAGCAGACAGTCCTCATACGGCTTTTCAGTTAAATAAGCAACTAAAGTGTAATACGAATCAACTACAAATAGATTATTCATCCTAGAATACAACAGAGATTTACGCACATAGGGCTAATCTCTACAGTCGATGATAATCAATAGCACTATAACCGAAATTACTTTATCCAGTTTATTAATTTCGTCTGTCATACGCCGGGCTTTTAGCTAGCTCCCAATAGATGGTACAGCGCACATTTTGTTGTTTTTAGCTTTTACAATTTTTGCTTAGCATAACAGCATATTTGATATTACATTAATGGAAATGCGATGCTAGTATTGAAGTGGGCTTGTCAAAATTCCAGGTCACCTAAATTACTAAATACGAATTCTCTGAATTAATGCTCCTTGCGAGTTCAGCCACATCTGTGCCGCAGAACCAGCGCTTAATTTCAAAAGCACCCTCGTTCGAATTCGAACGTGCAAGTCGTCTAATGTGACGGAGCACACAAATAATAGAGAAGCAGAAATAAAAAAAATGTCGACAATTTAATGGATGTCGCAAGTCTCACTTTTTCAGGTAGCATTGTGGAACAAGCAAAGTAAGTAAACTTGTTACCGTCATTTCTGATTGGATATCAAAAGATGGCTAATTATTACTCTGATCTTCTTTTTTTAACACATATTTTACACAAATCGGCGGAATAATAACATACACTTGATAAATAATCATTAAATAAAAATTGAATTGAAATTTTATTTACTGACAACTTTACTCGCTTATAATGACTCACTATTAATACGAGCAGAAAATCTTTTTACAGGGTGAAAATGGACGATTCTGTGGCTTCTAGTATTTTAGTAAAGCCGGCAGCTTCTACTAAAAATGAGTGCATGAGCTTCAACGGCAGGCCAGTCAATGATGAACATGACATTACTGATGCCTTTTCAGGTCTAGGCCTTATTGAGCCCGGAGAATGCATTTCCCATACCAAGCGAGATGTCTGTTCTAGATGCAAGTAAGTCAAGGTTACATGCATATAATTAAACCAATTATGTCTATGTAAACCGTTGTTAAGGGACATTAATTTATTTACACAAAGGAACGGTTAAGATTTATGCAGCTATATTTGAATGTACTTTTGACAAACTTCGTAAATATTCCGTATCGAAGGTTTCCGTAATATTCTAGACTATGCCGGTCAAAAACACAAAATCAGTACTGCCAGATTCTGGAAAGTCTGATTTTCATGTAAACTCTAAATATTATGATCCTTGAACATGACAGCAAATACTGTTCTTACACTTTTCCGTAAATCTCGCCGTTTGGGAGATGGAAAAGCCGATTTGTAAGCCAAATATATTTTCTCTGGTTATATCATTATCCAATGTTTGTGCTACAGCAAACTTCTACTGTGTTTTGAATTCTTCTCCAAAATAGAAATTTTTAACAGTCGTTTCTGTGGCTATAATTTTTGACCCCATTCAGTTACAACGTTTAGAGTTTTTATGTATTTTTGTAAACACACTTCTTATTCACACTACGTATAATGTCTAAAGCTAGCATGGCTTGAATACTATGAACATTGATTCCTTATTCTGTTATACGATGGATGAATTTTCTGTCTCTAAAATTTTTTGCAGTGATATTTGATCCCATTTTTACCTTGACTTTCAAACTAAACTGGAATATGTATAAAAGTAATAAAAAACAAAATGCACGTATTAAATAATTTTATCCAAGTCTGGTTGCTGAATTTCAAAGTTTTTAAAATAAAAGTTTGCAAGCTTAATGATTCCAATGACATAATCTGGATACTTGAGTCACGGGGTCAACGTAGCGCCCAGGCCATGGGTTTGGTCATTTTTTCCGAAGTACGTTTCCAAACTTAATACAAAATATACTTCAAAAGATCCAAGAAGGTTTCCTGCAGGCAGTAAAACTAAATTATGTACCGAGCGGTTAGTATGACAATAATTGTAATGCTGGTACTCCACATTTTAGCGGTATTATAAAATTAGTATCTCCTTGTAATAATCAGCACCTACTTGAATTTTTTTTATTTTGAAGCCCGCTTCTAAAGCAGTTTACTCACTTATTGGTATTTAAGCGAATTTTACACCTGAATTATGTGTCTGAATATGAATATCATTATGTGTCTGAAATATAAGTGACATATATTATCTTTCTATATCAGTATTTTCTTTGCAGAGTGAAGAGTTGTATGCCTCGGTAACTTCGAGGGAACTGAATAAACTAGATACACTAATCAGATGCATTAAAGCAGGGGCCACCTTGTCAACCGTTCGGATAGGGCGAATTGTGTTCCAGATCGGGCATTTAGTTGCGCGCAAAGTGAAATTGAATCTGATATATTAGTAAAGCTCTTAGTTTTATCCTTGTTAGCTTAGAACTGAACGTTGCTAGCAGCTAACTAGAGCTTTTAAGTTAGTTGAGCGCGCAGAAGGATTGAATTCTAAGTAATCGATGGTGCACAGAAGACATGCCACTTCTTTTTCTTAGAATTACACATCTTAGAAGTGGTTGGAGATTGGACGTATAATAGGTGTTAAACTTTCGTCACGAACCGCACTCATTGTGAGAAACATTTAACAAGAACCACACAAATCACGACATTGAAGGAGGACGGGATCAGTGGAGTACTTGTATAAGGCCTTCCGCACTGAACACAAATGTGACAGCTATATGGTTGCTTAGTGCCATTCGAGATATGTTCATCCGTGTATGTTTCTTTGACGAGGCTTATGTAAAACTTGTCAAATAGACAGCTAGAGGATTTGGTGGAATAATGGTGGAAAGCTATGTATGTATATTTTTTCAGAGAGCGAAAATGACTGGTACCGAATTTTCTATATTTGTAAATCAATCTCATCAGCTTGGGAGGGTTAATTTTGTTTCCCTTCTAGTAACAAAAACTGTGTCAATTTAAAGTGGTCTACCCTGTTTTCTATTGATCTATAGTGGCTTGAATTCAACGAAATTAATTAACATGCCTTTGAGATGTCTCACCCTGTTTGTATATTTTTGCACATTAAGGATCATCGGCTATACCTTTAGTGCTCGTTTGATAGACAAATATTTCATAGGCATTTTTGCTATGATTAGATTACATATCAGACTTCACAGCTCAACAGTATTTGCGATTTAGAACATTGATACACTGTTGCCTATATTTTAACTCATTGTTTCTTTCTCGATCTCAAAAATGGCTGATAGAACAGACCCTTACATATGTAACAGTAAGTGAAAAGTTCATTTTTGCTGATTTTTTTTTAACTGTAGAGGCTCTCTTCGCGCTTCCTCCTTCCCATAGACACATATTTTTCTTACGGCCTCAAGTCCTTCCTTTCTACAGCTTCGAAACCACAGTGGTGATTTGGATATAGAATGCACGAAGAAGTCTTTCGACTAGATTCTGCAAAAACGAATTTCCGCCGTAACCTGACCTAATACCACAACCCTGTATTTGGAAAATAATGCCTAAGAAATCATCAAGAAGATGTCTATAAAGAAAACCAAATATCTTACAAAGAAAGACATATGATTGTCACAGTCTTGTTCTATAATAAAGACGACATAGGGCATAAGGAACCTCTTGTTAGAAGATGTTACCGAAAGGTGCTATTCGCATTTACACGCATGGGCTCTTCCCTCACAGGAAAATTACAAATGACTGTTTGCACTGGTTTACATTCCATCCGACAAATTTGTTAGATTGCATAAGTGACACGTTTGTTCCTTCCTTGTAGTAAGTTGACCATATTTAGATGTTACATCCGTAAAATTTGAATGAATGATAAAGATACAACTAACGCACACCATGAATGCATTTACTCAATGTTTTGACGAAAGCATTTGCCCCTATATCATTTTAAACAAGTGGTATGCGGCGAAGTGGGAATGTCGCATACGAACACGTACAGGTCTTGTTATATCATTTAAATGAAATCACATATATTTTAAATCTAAGGCCGTGTTATTTTTCTGCCATAACACATCACAAATCTCTTGGTACCTTTGTAACATAGTATCTCTTGCGGGTAAGAACTAAGCAGTTGGTTTATGATTTAGACACAATATTCATTAAAAAAAATATTCAGTTTGTTATAATTGATGGTGCTTTCTTATGAGGCGTCCTATTCAGGTGTGCTGGTGCTGTCATCTGCCAGCTAAAAAAATTTCGACGTCGACACGTACTATCATTCTTCAACATCCGAACGAGATCAAACGAAACGTTCGGACAGCTCCGATGTTAGAGGCAGCACTCAGCAACTGCCTCGTTCTTCGCGGAAGACATTTTAGCAGGTAATACCAATGAGAGGTGAGCCAAATGCCTGTATTCCATTTCGTTTCTTTTCACCTTTACGTGTAAACAAGTAAAGACTACCAGACTGTCGGATGATAAACACAGCAGCGTTTGCAGTTTGCGATTATCGAACTTTACAGCTTAAAGTACCACTATTTTTCGTAGAAATTTACTATCCAAATAGAAAGTCGCTTATTGTGACTTTTGCAAGTCTTCTACGAGTACGGCTGATTATCATCCTTGACAATAATAACGCTGGGGCAAGTGATCAAAAAGTTCGAAAAAACCGTGTTATGTGAGAATAAAATAAGGCTAGAGAGAATAAATGGACGAACAAGTCACAAAATCACTGCAGTAAAAAGCAATGTGTATGTTGATCTAACAACCTCAAGGCGACGTTGTGTTTTACACCTTAGCCTACTGAACACTCCACGTCGCATTTTAAAACGAAACTTGCATTTTATTACTACAGGGTATAGTTGGCTGAATAATTAGAAATCCAGGACTACCTTAAGCGTTTTTTAGTCACTGATCATATGTTGATGCTCAGAGCACGTGCTGGTGACTTACATCATCTTTTCCGATGAAGCTCAGTTTCACTTGCTGGCTATGCGAATAAACAAGATGGTTGCTTCTGTGTATCAGAAAACCTATGAGCGACATCTAAGTAACCGCTTTTTTCACAAAAAGTCGATATAATGCAGCTTGTAGAGCGAAAGTGTGATCAAGACCTTTTTCTTCGAACATGATAACGGGGCAAAAGCAATAGTCAATGGCGAGCTTTATCGTCACATGTTCCAGACATGTTTTTTGTGCACTGAAATGAAGACACTGTTCGCAAACAGGCTTGCGCACACAGCGCAAATTTTAATAAGAAAGGGCAACTTGTTACACCGTGCTTGAAGAAATTTAATTACGTAAGACAATCTTTTCGAACTCGTTGATCTCGTCGAGAGGCAATGACATCGAGTTGGCGCCCAGGTCAATATCATGACCCAGTAATTGACTTGAGAGGTTTTCCTGCAAGGGTATGTGAAAGAGTATATCAAATAACGCCAAACTACCCACGAGTTAAAACATTGTATTCATGAAGTGCTCGGTAAAATTGATATTGAGTTATAAGGCAAAATTTCCAAATTATACGCAACCGGTCGTGTTATGCAAGTTAAATTTTTTTAAATATTTTTAGCTGCCACTGTTTTTCGTGAGTAGTGCAAGTTAAATCTTTTGAGCTGGGTCAATCTGAAAATAAATACAATTAGACATACTCGCGTTTGCTTTTAATGCCTGGACTACTGAAACAAAAAGTTTTAGCCAATCGCTTATATACATATATGTATATATCTATATACGGATCGATTCATACGAAAATGATCACGTCTAACCGTCAATTTTGTCGATTGATTTTACCAACTCGTCCCTTATATGTGAACACGAAAGGTCTCTGTTAGTATCAGTAGACGCATCATACATCTTTTTCAGATTTTTTTCATCTAAAAATTTTGAGCACTTAGCGCATTTCGTAACTAAGCTTTATCAGTTTGTTTAAATTTTATTGCTCAGTTCTCCAGTTTAACTAATTGCTGAAAGTAGTATGTGTGTTCACTGATAGTGACGTTAACTGCTTATTGAAGATTTGTTTAAAGTATAGAATACGACTGCTAGATTGGAACTTTGAGACTATACTTGAATAAAGATAGATACCGAAACGGCCCTTTTTGAATTTACTAGGATTGTCATTTGTGGCGGTTATCCTTATTTGATATGATGACCATCTACTGCGATTACAGCTCTACCCATCGGACCTAAACCTCTAGCTAGTCATTTACAAAATACTGTTTCTTTTGATCACAAGTAATCCTCTTATTGTAACGGTGCGTAACTGGGAGCCATATTAGGGGAAGTAAGCATATTGATGGGTTAAAGCAGGCTACGTACAAAAACTGTAACCGGAAGAGAGAACAGGTCAGAAATATTAGAAATAAAAGGACTTGAGACGGAAAAAATGTTCGTAAGGGGTAAAGAGCACCAAACGCCTCGAAAAGTTTGAACGTTAGAGCTAATTTGGACGACCTAATTTGGCAGTCGATATCTCCTTTCTAAAACTGTATTTTTTTCTAAAAATTGTATAAATTTCTATAACATAAACAAGAGTATATCAAACATAGCTTTTCAAGCCATGCTGTTGAATTTTCGATCCCTTTAAATCTAAACCCCACTGAAGGTCTCCCGGTTCTCCTGATCACGTTTTCTTCGCATATTTCAGAAATAGCATGAAAACTGGTAATAACATAGGCCGTCGATTTCGATCAAAAAGGAAGTTCCAATCCTAGTGGGAGTTCATCCGGTGCTGAAGGTTTGTATAATAGATGATCTTCGCATAGATTCCAAAAAGGGGCACTACTGTGCACTATGACTAGTTTGTTGTCTAAAAAAACTAGCTTTCGCCTTACACTAAGACTGGCGGACGAACGCATGCCTGCTACGACAGACGACCCATTAAAGTTTGCGCCAATTTAGCTACCGTGCCCTGTACATTTGTCTCTTGTACATTGTACAGTGACAGTATGTTTGCCAACTAAACATAAATACACCTAAAGTGATCTAGATTTGAAGCTGAGCATCGACGCATTTCGTTTCGGCAATGTAGAAGGCCGTTTGTTGTTGGAAACAATGCTTACTGCCTGAAGTACCGGACGTAAAAAGTCGAAACTTTTTTTCCTTTACATAGTATGTATTTATTTAGTAAGCGTTGTTCGTTTGACGTGCTATTTAAATACATAAAACTTACCAGAACACGAAGTCCGAATGAAACACCTGACTGGCTCCTTAATGAGCTATGACAAAAAATCAGTTCTTTTGCTGTTAATATATATATATATATATATATATATATATATATACATAAGAAAGGGGAAGAATTCTAATGTGTTCAGAAGAAAAATTTTCTTCTGATTTTATATATATATATAATATTAATTAATATAACTTTCCAAGACGACGAGCCAGCCACATGCTATTATCACATTTTAGGGCTTTCGCTCAAACTTGTTCTTTAGTAGTTTTATTATGCTGTACCGAGGTTTTGCCTGGATATGCTTGAGTTCCATGTTAAACTATATAATGTGAAATTCAAGAAGTTAGACATGGCCCAACAAATTCGTTGCAAAGGAATTACATAGAGAGCCTTTTTTATTTTTTAAACCGTTTAAAAAAGAAACAAACTGCTTAATAATCCTTTAAACTTGAATTCTCAAGCCGCTCTATTAGGAGAGAGCGGCACGAGGCTGTAAGGTCAAATTTAGCCTTTAAAGCCTATAATTAGCTAGTAATTATTAGCAACGTATGATTACTATCAATTGCTAGCTAAATCTGTTAATATTGGACATCACGATATTTACGTATCTCGATATAACTGTGGTGAATGAGAATTTTTTAATGTTAAAGTTGTTTTGCCAAGGGTATAAGAATTTGGAATGGCTTTACCTAAAATAAGGGCAAGAGGAGAGCTGACTGTGCGGGACTCCTTTATGTTATGATATTTGTTGAAGTTTTTCGCTACACACTGTTTTGCCAATTAGTAGTGTACTTAAATTTCAGGCACTCATTGATGCGTGAGATATACGCCAACGAGTCACGCACGTTCGTTCTCTATCCGTCTCCGGATGCAATGGACATTGAAAACTTGCCCAGAGAACAGGCTTTTAATCTGATTGTTATCGATGGAACATGGAACCAGGCCAGAAGCCTTTATTTTGCGAACAAAGAGCTGCACTCACTGACAAAGGTTTGTAAACGAACAGATCTCTACGAATTGGATTTAAACTTTTTTTTGTTGTTGGAAAGTTCACTTATTTTCTGAACTCACATGATAGAACACCATACGCTTCTGCGTTCCAGTAAGCGACTGTGTGGATTTTGCACATTATTAAATACGTATTCCTTGTTTTTAAGGCTTTAACAAAACGTTAATGATAATAATTATATAAAGTATTATTTTAATCATGCGGGTTGCCTTTTTGCAGGACTGTCTATACATAGTTCACCTGTCATATATATATATATATGACAGGTGCACTTTTCACCACTTTGCGGCATATTTTTGCAAAACATTCCGAAAAGCAATTACATGCCTCCTCTCAACAGATACATAATATTTTTTATGCTAATTTTCCACAGCACTGCCTTTTATGTAGCCACTTCAACAGAGAACTTCGAATTCATAATATTGTAAATATATATTAACTGGATAATCGACATTTCGTGCTATTTTCTCAACCTCACTTCTTCTATCTCAGAACTTTTTACTAAGCTGTGATTCTCTCGTCTTGTTGAAGATCCCACCACTGGCACTGTTTGAAGTTGGCATCCGTGCGTTGATGGGTTTCTGCAGACTAACATGCTTCTGACAGTTACTCCCAGCCTGCATATGCCATACATTTTATTGCACTATAATATTTCGGCGCAGCATAATGCAATAGACGTCATTTGCGTTACCTACTTCCTAATTATATATTTCCCCGCATAGAGAAGTCAGTCACTTTAATTGCCTCCTAGTATGAATTCAGAATCCATAGTAATTATTTTATTCAGCTTACCCACTCATCGGTGACCGCGTAGGCCGAGCGATATCGCAAACTAGGCTTCTGTATTTATTATCGTTATTGTTGTGGTATTTTTTTATTCCAAATCTGTACAATAAGTAACATAACATAGCAAATACTATCTAAAAAAGATAAACTAAGTAGGCAAAGCCATATTAGCTACAACTTCGTTTTCGTTGTATTTTTTCTAAAACTAGGTTTTAGTATGCTTTATCCTTTTTATCTGTTCATTATTTGTTTTTAACTGTTGGCTCTTATTTGCACATGTACGTACTTTCTATCTATAAAGTAGTGTTCTCTTACATTATGATTGATTCAAATTATTTATGGTATCTCTAGATCATGAGGGTGGCTCGAAACGCAGTTTTCGAATAGAAAGTTTGGCTAATTATTGAACTAACCTTTGAATTGAACAACGCTGTTATTTACACAAAGGGGATGCGTGACACATCAAAAAATCATTGTTTTGGGGTAAAGCTGTTGTTTCTAATTTCATTTCGCGCAGTGATTTTAGGAACTATGGTACATTTTCTACGAAGATTATTAGCTTTGAGCCCAAAAATAATGATTTGCAATGTGTACTTTGTACAGTCAGAAGAGCGGGTGAGCATTTTGCCTTTCAAGTGACGATACTAGAGGAGACAGATTAACTTGGCAATGTATATTGAGGTCGTCAAAGTCCAGTGTTGTAGACTTTTGTATGGCTAGGCCTTAAGTAGCAGATACGGGAGGAAATAACACATTATCATTTCTGTAGTCGAGATCAAATGCTTTGTCCTTCAACATCGTACTTTTAATTGGGAACTGGATACTATTCTTCGCACAGTAACATATTACGCAATCAAATGCCAACGAGGGCAAGTAGCGGAAAAAACAAAACCTTTTCAGTCTTTACATAAAACGACCTAGCAACTAGGTAGGCTGAAAGCCATCGAAGAGTGTATAAGCGCATATAAAAATCGATCAATTTTCCAAATAGGGTCCGTGATCTACTCCCGTAGTCAAGATAAGCAACCTGGTATGTTTGCGACCGTCTATGTGTATGGCCCAAGACACATTTGACAAATGGCTTGCTGTTAGACCAATGGACGATAAAGCCATGTTGGGTGAGGTGAAGTAGTTCACTTTCGGAAAAAATCGTCATGACATACACTGAAGAAGAAGTTTATTTTCAACGATGTGACTGATAATCGGCGCACTGAGAAACTGGTCGGCAGTTTTTTGTTTTTTGCCTCTTCCGAGTACGAATGTCATAATGCATTTGGCAAAAGATCCGAGATAACATAATTATTGTAATATCTAGCAAAAATGAGCCTTAGAGCTTCAGCAAGAGAAATAACAGCCTTTTTGTTAAATATAGGAGAATATTATTGCGTGTTAAAGTTGCTTTTGATTGTACGACATATAGTATAGTTGGAGATTTGAGCAGAAATGAAGAATCAAATTTTTTAATTATACGAAGCAAATACTTGTTATTATCTCCTACATATTATACAGTCACCTAGAATAAACGGAAAATACAACTCACCATCAAGTATTTCAACCTCTTTTTAGCATTCTGCTTATTTAAATTTGGTCTGCTAGGCTGCTATGCCGCTTTGCGATTATTAGTGAAAATCATATATATATTAGGGCTACCTACAACGGAGGTACAAAGTTAATGAATTCCCCATCCCCCCGTATCTAAAAGGATGCCATTGCTTAATATCATTTAAATGTGACAACACGGACGGTAGAGACGGAACGCGTAGCCAAGTGATGTAATTGCCGAGGACGACGATTTGACCTCTCTGTTTGCCACAAATATTGTTGTTTTATAATCATCAACTCGTTAATTGATGTGCCGTACTGTGTGCATGTTCTTAAATTATAATAAAAATAATTGTATAATGCATAAACTTAATCATATCTGTCAAACGTCGAGTACCATCTCATCTTGTAAAATTCCCTCAGTAGCTTAATTAAATTGTTTGAGAAGACGAAACTAGTATTATGTGTTTCCCACACATACAGCGTGTTTGATCTAGGGGCCAAAAGTTGTAAGCCTGATTATATAGTAAAGAGAACTAAAGTTACACTTACTAAGGGTTTAGCCGTCCGGTTACCGGCGTTACTTTCGTTAAATAGACAAACCGAATTCGTAGTACAGGGATGTTCTTCTTTTTAGATTATTTGCGTGCTTACTCTTGCACTCTTTAGGATCACCATCCGCATGTAGAATTACATGGAGTCTATTTTATAACACTGTTATGCTTATGTGCATTGGTAATCAAGAATTTATTTAGACATAGAGTTTCGGATTTAATTGACAAAATGCAACAAAGGTTCCTTCAAAAAATTGTCGTTCAAAAAACGTCGATCCTTACAGCGACCTAGTTACATTTCTAAATACAAGAACGTTCTCTTAGTGCCGCTTTAGAATAGTTAGAACGAATCACAGTAAATGATAAGGCATTTGACTACTTTTTGGAGCTACCCGAAATAAACAAAAAAAATTTGTATTTTTAAGGCCCACTTTTGTTTGTATGGCAGACTGCCAAAATAATAAAATAATAACAAATTGTATTTTATAATATAAAATTACTATACTTTAAATTATATAACCTTTCTATCCGCATACACGTTTTCCAATAACGTCTAATAAGAAATCTTAATTTAAATGTATAAGTAAACATTGTTTTGAAATAGTAAAAGACATAGTCTGCATAATATATAAGTTGGTGTCCGTCATAGCGTTGCATTCAAGTGGCGTTTTAGCTGTTTCTGTACGGCTCCGAAATCATATTTTGCGAGGTTGTTATTTTTTAGTACCCTTTTTTGTAGGAATAAACCGAAAGCTATCGGTAAACTTTGCAAATACGGTTTTTCTCAAAGAATGTACTGCCCTAAAGCAAAATAGGTCCGTTCGGCAGATGCTCGCATAAATAGCGGTTTGAAACTGCTTAGGAGGTAAACTTTACTTGTTATATCGCCTGTACAAAGAGTTAACCAGCAAGGTTCACGACGGACAACAAAGGCTTACAATAAGTCAAAAGAAACGGTTGTTTTTTCTCAGGTAAAGATCAGTCCGATGCACGCGTCTTACTATGTGGTTCGCACACAGCCGCATGCCGCCTGTTTATCTACTGTTGAATCTGTCGCGTTAGCCCTCAGTAAATTAGAGTGTCAACCGCAACTAGAAAAGACGCTCATCAAGCCTTTGGTTGCTATGTGTGGCTATCAGGTTTGTATGAGATACATGTTAGTATATTTGTTTCCCATATATACATATATTACTCTACTCATTATATACATCTATGCATCTGTGTTTCTGTATATACAGTACACAGATATGAAGTTATGACTCTCAAACTATCAAGACACGTTGGCCTAATCCCGTATAAATATCTGTATGCATCACTCACTACAAATTAGTGTAAAATTCTAAACGAGACCCCGATATGTGATGTGATACGACCATATTGGGCTATAGATAAGATTTATAAGAAATGGTTTCGTTAAAAAGACGCAAGTTCATTTTTATTTTAAATTTAATATTTTCTGAATTTAGTAAATGTTTTTGGCAAAAAATATTTCTACGCACTACAAACCGAGAAAGTGCGCTTTTTTGATGAAAAAAAAACCCAATTTCAAGGCCTGTTTATGTGTAAAAAAATCGAAGTTCATTAACGTGAACTTGTGCCTTCTTGCATGATATCGTGCAATTCTACACTTAAACCTTTAGCAAATAAACAGTGCATCATTTGTCTAACCTGCCCGTAAAAAGGTTGAAGAAATCAGGGTTGGGAAATTGATCAGTTGGCTACACGGAACTGGTAAAGAGCCAAAGTTTATACTGCAGTCGTTCTGTTCCAAAAACAAAAATCAAGCAGCTCTTACAACAGAAACCAGTTAGATTTCTAGTGAAATTTCTGATCTCCCATATTTTTACGATGAAGTCATAGGATTTGGCGGAATGTTTGGAACTTATAAAATACGAGCCAACTTAGAATTGGTTCATATTCTTTGATTGGATGAGCAACCCTTTACGTTTCGTTGGAGATAGTTTTTTTGTCCCATCGAGCGTAATGGTTATTTGGTCAAGTTGACACTTTTTCAACGTGCTCGATAGCCGTTAAGAATTGCTTAACGGTTATTGTAAGAAAGCTTTGTAAGTAAGCTCCACAAAATCGGCACGAAAGTACGGAAATTGGGAAACGGATCCATTGAGGTGAGGTTTATTGTAAGCTAATGATATCATTATTACAAGAGCATTTCAACGGGAAAGCGGAATACGTCTGAAAGGTTTCAATATTTCGGCCCCGTACCTACTGCACGTGACACAATTACCGAAATCTCCGCTGTTTTTTTTATTAATCCCTACCGGGTTCAATGGATTTTCATCGACTTCAAGACAACTCTAGCGCCGCAAAATAGGTGCAAAATTAAATTTTGAGATTTTCATATTTTTGCAACTTCATGGGTAATTATATTTGTAAATGGCCGGGAGTTGATAAAATAAATCGGTGCGAAAGCTGTGAAGCTGATTAACTGAAATGGCGAATCCCGATATGTGCAGTAAGGTAGTTTTAGAAGATAAGGAATATCAATAATGGGGGAACATTTAGGGCTTAGATATGCTACCTATAACTTTACATTATTAACCTATACATATAAGTGACGTAGAATTTATTTAAGTTTATATTGGCTATATCTAAATCGAGATGTATTGAAAACATGCTGTGCGGAAACGCATTTGAGGTGGTGTGAAAATAGGACAATTAAAACAAAATAAATAAAAAGATCAGCGGAATATTTTAATGAAACCGAACGAAGCTGTTAGTTATATTTGATTTAAACAACGTAATCAAACTATTGTTTATGTTAGGCTAGGTGTAACGAAAATCAAGTTCATTCGCGGTAATACAGCCTGATGAAATAGCTGTAAAAAGATAATGGGTCACGTGATCAGGCTAATTGTAGTTTAGGGCGCATATTTGGACTATGGTGACTTATGTCATGTTCGGTGTAAAATCACCAATACTTCAGATTAGTTAAGTCAGAACAAGCACAGGGTGAACTTCACTATTTTGTCTAAAAATCTCTACGTTTTATAAGGCAAACACCTATACCGAAAGCGATCTTTAATCAGTCCCTTGCATAATGCACGATGTCTCACCGAAAGAGAGGCAGGATTCCTTTGTAACATCGTTATTAATCACTGTAACCCATCGCGCCTTCGATTCTAATCTTGTACTTGAAGCCCAGAAAAATATATATGAAATAATTATCACCCGTGGGCTAAGGCAACCGCGAAAACGCACGCCACCTTTAGTATCAGTTGAGTAATAATGGTGCAACATGTACCATTAGTAGTGACCTTTACTATATGCTCACCCAAAACAATGAGAGGGCCCATGTAACAGTTAGTGTGCAGTTCAAATGTTTGAACCAAACGGATGTGTGAGAGGCAGTTCTGTACTCACTTCGTGTAGTTCGCTGCAGGTCAAATCGAGGGCGTTTTGGAATTATTCGGCAAAGTACAACTTCGGGCATCTATGAGCGCTATGCTTGGTTTTTACTGATATAGGTTTCTGAGCTGTACGGGTGATGAATAATGCGAACGGAGTCGGCATTAGATTTAACACATAGTTTCTTTGAATTCCATCCCTGGGTTAGGTCTACGGGACCCCGGTTGTCGTATATTAAGTCAAAGGATAACCTCTTTAACGAAATCGTTTTTGACTCTTATTTGTAAACCCTGTGAAAATAAGTGCCGCGATCACCGGAACAGCTGCTGTAAACAACGCAGCAGTGACTCTAAGCCCCCAACATCTAAGTCGGCAAAAAAAGACAAAAAAAGCTTTCTATAACAAAGCCCTCGTATTTAAAAGAATTTCGTCTTTTATGTATGCGATGAGAAAAGCTTGCAGAGCCTCAGCCTATGCTGTGATGAAAAAAAGTAACACAGCGTTCCATGCTGCATACGAACAGCTGATGGGGGAAAAATGACCAACCGAACGATTTATGTATGAACAGTACACCGCTGGAAAATTAAATCATAGCATACATCAAATTTCCACTGCATTCTGTTTAAGCTTTAGAAAGCAAAGCAAAAACCCTCACAAGAAAGCCGATGCGTCGGTTAACTACGCCCTTGGAAAATGAAAGGAGGACCATGTCCGAACAGCAGGAAACCGTGCTTATTGCGACTCCGTAGACGGTGTTAGCTATAGTCAGACCGGTCTTGTGGAAGCGCTTGCTTCGCAAAGTATCCGCCAGAGTACGTGTGTCCACGAAAATGGATATAAATAATGTGATAGCCGAAGTTGATAAGTACCTCGAGACTTCAAATTACTCAGTAGCCGTTTTCCTGCAGAGAGCTATTACGAGTGCATGTAGTTCAAAAAGCATGGCTAAATAGTCGCAACTGAGTCACTTACTACTAAAGTGAAGGGACTGCACCTAAAATCCGACCTGCATGTACTTTATATTTCTCTTTTCGGGTCGGACTGCAAGGCCTTCAATGAAATTTGCCGGAAGGGGAGCTTAGGAAAGTGCGCCCTTCGCTGTTCCGCCTCTCCCAGTCACACAACGTCAAGTCGTTGAGAATGGCTGATAAAGCTAAAAGGGTAATGGTACCAAAAAGCTCATGTATAATATCGCAAGACAGAACAAATCTCTTTTAAAGGTAAAGTTCAAGAAAATTCCGAAGCATGTTATACAGGCAAGTCGCGGGGACACGACTTAGCGCCGGCAAGTTGTCGGGATTGTTTGCTGGTTTGGATGCACCGGCGGGTCTTTGCCGCTCCAGACTCTCAAATTGATCCAACGATGTGTCGGTACCTCTTATTGGATTGCGACAGCTTTAGCCATCATTGACAATTAAAACCAAGCTTTGTGTTATAGATGCGAATCATCTTTAGGAACAGCAGCTTCAGTTCTCGCAGTTGGTCGCGGGCACATTTTCGAAGCAGAGGTCGTGGTCAGAGTCGTGGAAAACGCGAAAAATCATTCAGTGGAAGTGTGCTAGAATTCAGTTTATATTTTTGTGCTGGCGGGGACCTGGGCAACCAGTCCGTTCGATTTACCGGAATTTTACTCCATTCACTGCTCTGCACAAAAGGGAACGGGCAGCGGCCGCCGTAATGGCAGTGTCTCAGTTTCTTACATTCCCAGAGGTGGAAAGCTAATTTCACGGCATGTGGAAGACAACGCCATGACCTTGTATAGCTCCAAATGCTGCTTGTGACGACGTATATGCAACCAAATGACAAGGTCTGCACTCTGATTTTTGTAGAGAAGCCTATTGCCGGTCTACAGGGTAGTGAACTCCATTTCTAGCACTTCCATTTTATGGCAGTAAACTTCAATGAACACGTAGGCTACTTTACCTAGAGTTAGACGACAGACCAATAAAACACTGACGGAGTAACACTGCTAGATAGTCACTGTTTGTCGATCCTGGAAGAAGCTTTGTCACGGATACCTTTGCAACGAACGTGATTAAGGATGAAATCATACATATCGGCAAAAATAATTTTCGGCAAAAAAATTGTGAAATAGGACAGCTCCAGGCACACATTCCTGTCGGATTAGACTTCAAGGGGCACCGCCAGAGGAATAAATAAATAAATAAAGTGTAAATTGAACCCGAAAAACCTCTTTAAAAGTGCTAATGGAGTTCTCCTAATACCAATCTTGGTTAATGTTACGATCGATTCCCATTATCTCGTCGATGTCATGTAATTTTCCATTTATCTAGCTCGTCTCAGGAGATATCGGCTATGGCTAGACTACGATTACCGTTTTGCCCACGATGCCCAGAAGGCCTTTAAGCTACTGAAAACAGTTCAACCAGCAGAGGGGCCGCTGGCTGTAGCGTACAAAGTGATCTGTCGCAAGATATATGCCATTCAATGAAAAAACTCGTGATCGAGCAAGAGGTTATTCTCATCAGAGAGGCCGAACGTCAGCCATATAAATGGCTTGGCTACCCAGGCCGGCATCGCGTCCCATTTCCTCATCAGCGCTCACCTATTACTGTCCTGAAATGTTCTCATTTAACTATCATGTACCTCATTAGGTCTTGATGCTCAGCGTAGCGTCGGCGACCAGAAAGGTCGGATCAGTAGTTTTCCGTCCTGGAAGTGATTCAAACGCTCGAAAGCCTTTGCACAAGGACGACAACGGGACGGGCAGGATTGCTTCTGTTCAACGAATTTCTTCATTCTAGACTGCTTCCTCTTCATGGACAGGATGCAACGCGTCTTGTTATTTTAAGGGGCAAAGGCAACCCAAACCAAGCAACGTCATGGCGCGAGATTATGAAAAGGAAAGTCTGCCATAAGTTTCTCTCGTATCTGCTGGCAAAGAGACTACACGTGTTCCTGGGTAGTGTTAATGCAATACCGGAGAAGCAACACGTATTTAGGAAAAAGCATTCGACTATTTGCAGTTATCCAGCGAATTTGAAGTGGGCGAATAAGTTGGTGATATACTTGAGCAATCTTTGAACTTCAAAGCGGCTTCCGACTCTGCTTCATGGAATCCAGTGTTAAGCATCTTTGCGAACGTCGGCGTTCTCGCAAATATGCTTAATATAATAGCAGCGACACTTCAGGAGAACGGGATTACAATCAATGATGAGGTCTCGGAATTGCCAGCGTTTTCCCAGACAACAAGCATGGCCCAAGGTAATAACTTAAGTCCTATTCATTCCTCCGTCTTGCTTGTGGAGCTTTCTAATAAAATACGCGAGCTTAGAAATATCGCAGAGATTCTTCTTTATACCAACAATTTTTGTTATTTATGCGAGCAGTCGCTTCCTTGTGCAACAAACTCTAGCCAGGTTAAATTCCATCGCTTCGAAGTTGAAGTAGACTATCAACCTACCAGAAAACGAGGAAGTGAAATTCAGGAGAGGATTGCCAAATTGCTACACGTGACACGCTATATCTCTCGAGTCAACCGCTAACATAGTTAATCGATTTACTTACCTAGCGCTGCTGATCTCGCCTAACGGTTAAAGTTTCGCGTAGCACATGACAGAAATATGAAGGAAGTCATCGACAGCTTTGTCCGCAGTACTTAGCCTTCACCGGTTATCCTTCTTAGCTGCTTTGCGACTTTTCAACCTTAAATTTGCGTCAGCTGCTGCATATCGGGTAAATTTAATGTGGAGGTCTCTCATAGTAGAGATTCTCGAGCATTTGCAACGAATAAAAATCTTGTTGCTCAAAAATGTCTTTAAATTGCACCAAACAACCCGTAACAGGCTTGCCTACATCCTTGCGGCGATGCCACTGTTTGCCGGGAGCTTTCGTCCCCACATCAACTCGTCTGGCATTGCAAAAAAATCGTCGTGCAATGAGCTCAAAAATTCGCGGAGATGAATTCCGTAACGTAAGCCATAACGGACCAGACCTGGAAAAGACTTGATGGGTTTGAGAGACATATAGTGACGAGCTATGTACTCCACGGTTTCCATTATCGCTTATAAATAGTACAATTGATTAATAAACCTGACCACCTTGTGTGACAGTCTTATGATATGCATCATGCTTTTCGCTGGCGACAAGTTCAATCACTGGGTAGACTGACTATGTAGCTAATCCGAAAGATCGCAATAACGTGGTGTATAATGTATAAGGCAGTAATAGGTAGGACCTAAATAATTCCGTGAAATTTAGATCGATCTTTCCAGGAACTGTTTTATGACACAAGCTTTAGCTAAGTTCGTCGAATCCGTCATCTGTATGGTAGAGTATAGCATATAAACGTAAGTATGCTAAGAGTGTGTACGGGTGTTTGGAAGTGAATAAATAAGTGTAATTGACTTGTAACATCCGATATAAGTAAAAGATGGAGCCATTGATCCTCAGTAATATATTTTATGCAAGAAATCTTAGACGAAATTAGTTTTAAGTTCCAGCACATTGTCCGATAATTAAAGCATGTACCGAGCTTTACTGTACAAGACATATATATATAGCTTACTGGTGTCCATTTATAGGAAATTAAAATTTCCCTAGTAGTTTTATGTATCGTCTCGTGTAGCCAGATAAGAATGTGTCATAGTCAAACGACTCTGCCCTGTTTGGAATCATATTTAGATGTGAAGTTGAAAAATGAGAAGGTAGGTCAAGTGAACTGAATAAAGGTTTGAAAAGTGAGGGTACGTTAGATTTTATATGTAACCTCACTGGCTGCATGCCAAAACCTGAATTCACAGCGCGTTGACAACGCGTCTTAAATTTTTATCCACGGTGCGTCGCAGACGTCATGACTAAATGATAAGTCACGATGCAAATAAGTAAGGAGATTCGCTTTAAAATATAGATTAGGTAAAAAGTTTTTATATAGAACCAATAAGTATACTAGGGTGAGGCAAAAAAACGGCTAGACCATAAATTTCCAATATAGGAATAGGAGAAGTACGTTTACCATTGTAATAACCTGAATTTCAACTCCAATCTTTTTCTAACTGTAGAAATATAAATATATATTCTTCAAACACGATGATGACTTATTTTTCTATTTCTAAAATTCTCCTCCTGATTGGAATTAAAATTCGGCAGTAAAAGGAAGAGTAATATTTTCACGCAGGGATTATGCTTTCACCTTATTTACAAATGTTGAATGTTATTTCTTTAATGTATTGAAGAAAGTTACGAGGACATTTGTACGAATAGTAATATAGGGTTTAAACAGTGCAAAAAAAAAGTGTTGTAAGTACTACCATTTTAATTACTAGTAATAACAAAAGCTTGAGAATAAAAGTGCTTTCGAAATGCTGGCACAGTAAGAGAACAGATAGACTAATAAATGCATAAAAATAATAGTTATTATAAATAATTATAAATATAACAGAGAACGTGACTCAAATCTAGTGAGGTAGAGTAGTATTTTAATACATTGTATATGGAGTTTCAATATGCATATCGAACTGAAACGTCCTCAAGCGTAAGCTTCCCAGGGATTCTCTAGCAATCCGTTCGATATGGTCTTCCAAAGAAATATAGGTAGAATACATTCGGTAACCTTTGGCTATATTAAGCTGAAATAGTTGTAGGGTCGACATTTTTATATTTAGTCAATCTGTTAATATAATCCTCTCGAACCAAGGAAGCCTTAACTGTCAGAGTTTGGTGAAGATCTTACGATTTTGTGATATTTTTTTTTTTGCAAAAAAATAGTTAGTATACTAAATAAATGTAGTAGTACTTACACTTTTGGTCAAATAATATAATTACATAAATATAATCTCGACAGTAGTGTTCTTTCCAATTCAATGAGCCATACCATTCATGATTTGTGTTACAGTAGAACGGTAAACTATATTCTACACTTAAGTTCAGCTGTGGTTGCAGTAAAAGGGCGAACGTATTCAGTTAAGCCAAGTCCTTCTACTTCAGCGTAAAATAAGTCAAACGACTTCACAATCTTTTAAAGAGCATATTAAATTGCCAAACCAAATTATTTGCATCTGAAGTCTCGTACACCAAACTGTTATCATCTCGGAATAGAGCGAACCTTCAAATATCATTCTCCTATCTTCTAATCCGCCAAAGCATTAATTCTGTTTGCTAACACAGCGCTTTGAATAAACAGAGGCATCTTCAAAAAACTGTTTATCCCATGAATATGTAGACATCTGACAGGTTTTTTGCCCTAGAATGCTTCTCTAAACGCATATTCCTTTGACGCCGAAAACTACGTGATTATGGCATGAAATTAAAGTCTTCATACTTTTCACTTCTACCAAAGCGGTGAGGATTTGCGCTTGAAACAAATTCAAACCTTAAAAGGCCCGTAAGAACAGGAAAAGAGGTCAAAGCAAATATACTTAACATTCTACCAGTCGTAAAGATAGCTGTTTTGGATAGAGGCTGAATATAGATAGCCAATAAGCTATCATGTGTTTAAATTATTATGGGTATTTTCAGATTGATTATGGGGCGCAGAAACGCGACTCAAAAGAGGAGCAAATTCTGAGCGGAACTTTCAAGCGGAAAATTCCTAAGAAGATTGAAAACAGGATAGAACAGTGCAAGGACTTTCGTGGCCTGTTAATGAGATAATACTATATGGAACGCATTGTATGCAAAAGGAAGAATTTTATTTAGAATGTACTATTATAAATAGCACCTTGCGTTCACCACCACAGCAGAGGTGCGATAAAAATTCTGTATAATGCAGCAGAATGTCAAATTAATAAAGAGTCTTCCGGAAAAGGTCGTTGTCTTTTCTTAGCTTAGGACAAAACAATAGAGTTGCAAACATTGAGGGCCTTTACTAACTCTTGTTGCATCCAGATGAACAGAATTTAGTTTATACAATTTATTACTTATTTTTTGGTATGCGATACTTCATTTCATATTTTAAGCCTTCTGCTCTACGTTACGTTGACGTTTTTGGTTCGAATGGATCTGTTTCATTGGCGAATATTGTCCTCATTAGTTTATGCGATGCTGATACAAAGCGATAGTAAAACCTGTAACGTTTTAGTTTCGTAGTCGAAGGACTATCTTAGCTATTCGAATTTTTGATCTCACATACATTAAAGTAAATATGTATATCTTGGAAAAAATAAATGTGTATAGACCTTTGTTCAACTAAGTGCTGTTTAATTGACCTCTCCTTTTACTGTAAGCTGTCCCGTGTTCTTCTCCCTGAGAGCAAATTTCAAAGAGATACATGCGAAAGACGTAAGAGCAAAATGGTTGAAACTCATTTTTTACTTTAAAGCTAAATACACGCTACAAAGCTAAATAAATCTCCCTTGCTGTCCGCAGTTTGCCAAATTTGTTTAAGTATTTTATCTCGGTTAAAAGATGTTAAACGAAAACACACAAAATGCTTTGTTCGAATCTGGATGAATTCGTCTTGTTAATAACAAGTTGGACAGCGCACTGCTTCTTATCTAAAACAAGCCTCAACGACTCTAATAATATCTATGATATATGATTTTAAATAACATTTTTTGCTTCTGTGGGTATAGGTTTGCGTGGCCTAAAAGCCATGACAACCTAATTCTCATGGTTATCATTGTGCAAACGTTTATAGAAACAAGGCATAAATAATCGTTATTGAACTCTTAGTTAGTGTGTGGAACTAGGGGTCTTAACACGTAATTTGCGTAATACTACGAAGGCTAAAAGGTACCTTGAAATAGACAGATTTGGAGCACAGTGGGACGTCCCACGTTCATAACTGTACATTTTTTTTCATGTTCTATCGAGCTGCTTGATATCTGGGCAGCATTGGAAGTAACTGTCACATAAGCTTTTTTTGTCTCGGCGAGTCAGAACCTAAGTCTACTCACTTGACGGTAATAATTGACAGATCGAAGTCTAAAAGCTCAAGTTTCCCTTCTTATCGGTTTTCAAGTGGCGAATAAAGCACTCTCTATAGAACTGCAACTGTTTTGTAGGAAAATGCGTAAAAAGATACAGAAGAAATACAAAACACACCATAATCGATTTTATTAGCCAGAAAATCGCATGCACGGTCTGTATCTATCATAACAAAATACGCATACATCTGGCTATTTAGAAACAGCGATCGCGTATTGTTATCGTATGTACAAAACGCAAATTAAAAACGATTTAATGGTACAGGAAAGTAATTACTAAGTACTCGTTATCTAGCTCTACAAAAAAGTTGCTCTAAGGAAAGAGAGGTCAAACAAAGCTCAGAAGAATGTGTTGTTCAAAGTAGGTAAAAGTTTATGTCAATAGAAAAGGTGTATATTATGAGCTCATAGTGGAGAAGTTACCTTATCTTATATATTATAAGAAGACACAATGTCCCGTAACTCTTTTTTTCTTTCTTTTCTACCAGCCATGCCGCTTGGTGCATCAGTTTCTTAGCGAAGATAACTAATAGTTTTGTCTGTATTCAATGATCGATTATTTGGAAATATCTAGTCATATCACAATTATTGTTTTCGATATATTTTTGCATGCCCTAAAGGAGGAGCTTACGTAATTAGTGTTCCTTTTTAACACTGTTACCAGAGGACACTAAATTCACAGCGCATGAGTACGTAAAAGCTCAAACAACTGGACGTTGTTCTATTTAACGAAAAAACAAGTGACCATGTATTGTTTTAATTTTTGTTTTGATCCTGACCAAGATGTCAGCTACCACAAAGGTCATATCACCAATGGGTGCGCGATAATTGTAGACCACGGTGCTGCTGTAATTTGTATTTTCCTTGCACTTTCATGTAAAAAATGCACCTGGAATGCACTGATATATTACACAAAGTAGATCTGGTTTTATTAAAAGTTTTTCAACAATTATCTGGGCGTACGACCTATCGCTATCTTCGTTCATGAGAGTCCTGATATATATATTTATATATATGCATATATATATATACCGTTTTTCTAGATTTTACCAAATTTTACATTATAAAGTGTTCTTCTTTCCAGCAGTCTTTCGTGGTGTCAGGTTCGTTTGTTATATTGTTATTCCTGACTCCTAGCGTATTTCCAACATAGGGATTTCTGTTTACAGGGGCCTCAATTATACTGAATTATTCAAGTTGCATAACCTCACGTTGGTATAAGTTAATGTCTTGATTTCAGTTACAGGACAAAATTTCGTCGAAACTGCTCCAACCAATTAATGATGACGTTTTTTTTTTACAGATTTAACACTTTTTCTGAGGTGTCTTCATCGCTTTTTAAAAACGGTACGCATGGGAGCTATTTAAATTCCACGTTACTACTAACATTGTAGTGTATAAAGTATATATAGCGAAAGGCGGGTTTTCTCTCTTGTCCAAATTTTAAAAAAGTAAGGTTATGTGGAACGGCTATGTATTTCTGCTTTTTTCCGAATCTTTGTCAAATGATAAAAAGGAAAATAACCAGACAATTTTTCTACTAGTTTTGCCTATCATATCTTCACATTTGCTTTACTACGTGTCGTTTCTTTTGAAAGCTATTTTGACGACTTTCTTAGAATGTCATTGGCACAAAACAATATTGCCGACACTGCGGACGATCACCATCATGGATCAGAATTTACTATGGGTAATTATTTATTCTGACATGTAACACATATTCTGTCATGTAAACATGACAGTTTTACAGGATTCAATACATCAAGTTGGTTTTGTAAAGCAGTACGCACATTGCTACTGTTGATCGTACTTCTCAAACACAATGCAGTTCGTTAAAGGATTAGGGACCCGATTTCAGACTGCGCAACAAAATACTCATATAGACTTATGGAAGACGAACAGTAATCTTTGACCTACCTTCCTTGGTTATAAATAATTCATGATCCCAGCGCCATTATCATTGGCCTTTCGAAGAAAAAAAAGAGTTTTCCTACCCAGGTTGTCAAATAATCGGCTTCTTTAACTTAGTTTATTAGTGACTCATATTGCCCCACCTTTGGTCCAAATAGCCATACCTCGTGGGGCTATATGGACTAAAGACATAAGTGCATTTAACTGATATTTTCTTAAAAAATCATTCGATCTTAAAGATAAGAATTGTAGTCCGGCCATTTGAGCCAGATCGTAGGAAAGTTTTAGATAAACTAGTATAATTTGTTTTTCTGACGTGATATCGTCTGTTTTCAAAGAACAGCGTTAAGCAAATTTTAATCCATATAACCCAATCTACTTACTCTATATGTATATTCTGTACACAATATGCAAGCACCTATCCCGTTCACACGACGGTCACTCTGCGGCGTAAGATAGCAAGTCAAATTGAGAATTCTTTTATACATAATTTACAGTTCTCAGTAGCATAACGACATACATTTTAAAACTTATATTTAGCAAACGTCTTCGAATCCAGCTTGCCGGACGTCATTTGAGGTGGCTGGAGACCTCCACAGATGGTCGGTTTTGTATAATAATGTTCATGTGGGCGATTCAATCTGTGTTGATCTTGACCGATGAAAAATGTCTTAGTAGGCTGCTCTATAATCCGAAAAATAGAATGTGAAACCTTACCGACGCTTTCGTGCTCGCACTGACCCATGACACCCTCGAAATTGCTAGCGACGCCGTCTATGCAAACAAGATCCTTTCGCCTCGATTCTTTCTGCTTCTTGTTGGTGCTTATCTTAAGGTTGTTCATAGGTTTTTCCCTTAGTAGTTTTTCAAGTCCCGCAAAAGGCAATTCTGCGATTGTGCACATTACGTAGGCGGCCATATGTGACAACGTCCATATTCCCAGAAACAAGACAGTCTGAAACGATATACATAGAAAGCAATGTTGCATTTAAGTAGCAATGGCCCTATGCGTTAGTATGAATATATCGACATTGATCTTCTACTTTCTATTCAGGAATTTTTTTCCATATCTATACGATTTATGTGCGCGTTTTCTGGACATACCTTAGGATAAAATATCATCATTGTCTCAAACAACCATCTTTGATTTTAGATATATATTTCATAACTTTCGAAGCTGTACCCTAAGAATCACCAACGGTGGAAACTATTAGCTACACATTTCTAGGTGAGTTTCGATCAAAAAAGATTTGTAATTTTTACCGTAACGAACGTGACATAACATCTAACTTAGATACTGCATCTTATGATGGCTCTTTCGCGGTTTTTTGTTTGCTTAAATTCAATGTTTTAAGGGATATTACGCCTTAATTATTATTTATACATATATATTTATACGCCTAATTATTATTTATATTTTTATATAATATATTAAGGGGTTGTATACACTTTTATCGTTTATTCATGTAGATATATGCCAAAGCTTATCGACTGTTCAATTTGGTGTGGATAATATGCGTTTCTCACACCTAGTGTGAGTCGAAAAGTGGGTCACTAGAGACTGGTAAGGACGACAGGTCACTCTATGATCGAGAAACGCATTTTCCATTAGAAAGTAGGAGAAGGCCTTTCCTGGGCAAAGTTTGTTGTTAGAACGATGATTAAAAATCATAAAAAGATAAATAAAATGAGTGCAAACACCTAGTGGTTGCGACGCGGTTATATTAAGCTTACTTACATTTCAAATATGCTAGCTTGTGGAATTACAATGTTTCATATGTAAATAATAAAAGTTGGCTTACAACTCAAAAAATAAGCTCAGAGAATGCACCTGAATTGTTCTATTAAACCCTATCTAATATAGACTTGTATGCCTTTGGACCTTTGAGTATTTTTGTCGTCTATAGAACAGCCATGACTAGACTGTTGCAACTGTTTGCGCAAAAATGTAAAGATTTTCGTTTTCTATTCGCTTACAAACATGGCAAATAGTTCTTTCTAAAGAAGCGTTTAAAATACATAGATCTGCAGCATTGATTTAAGTCGATTTCGGTGCTTTTTTTTTGTAAATCAATCTATCTTCTCACATTAAAAGCGCATATCTTTGACTCAAACTCTCATGCCCAATATTGTTCAATAAAAAAGTGTTCTGTTTAACAATATTTGCCACTTACAATAAGCCGAAGTTCAAAAAGCGTAACTGTAACTTTGGTCTTTCATGCAGTAAATAGTGAAAGCTGGCTGGAAAAATAAATTAACTAAAACATGTAATAACATTTCAATTACATGATCGAACCGTATAGAGCTTTATGCTTCCGAACCTCTAGGCTTTCAGATAATAGCATTAGCTTTACGGTGTTCAAGTAATGGATTCGAGAAACGCTGTAGAACTTCAACGCGTATGTATAAGTGAAAAAGCTCAACTTCAGAAGATTGAAAAGCTTCGTTCATCTGCTTTTCTACGCCAACTCTGTGACCCCTTGAGGAATCTAAAAAATGAATGGAACAACACTAAACACAAATGCATGATTTTTCCTGTGGCACCTAAACCCGTATGTGTTTTTGTTAAATATTAGAGGTCAAATATATTACAGAACGGCTTGTATTTATGCCAGAAATTAGCATTTTTACCATATAGAAGTGGTCGAGTTGCTGAATTTCTTTTGTCAGAGCGACGTAGACAATAATAAGCGCAGGGTGAAGGAGGTAAACTGTAAAAGAAAGCACTGAAAACGGCTGAAAGAGGTCAGCAGACAAAAACGCTGAAATTATTCCACCTTGGCCTGTTACAGATGTTAGGATAAACCAGCATACCTGCCGTAAAACAGAACAACACAAAACGCAAGGTTTCAAGATAATTTTCGGCATTAAAAGATACCATGCTATTTCGCTGTATACCAAAAGTGCACAGCATTATATTTTATGTTGCTTTAATTTTTACTGCGTACATTTTTCAATTCTTTATCATTTTTCGATTCCATATATTCGTGCGGAAAGCTTTATTTCGAAGCATAATTAATTTAAAATATATAATGTTATTCTCGTAAAATAGAAATAAATACGACTAAAAGCTAGTTTATAGAATGTCATGCTAGAAGTCACCAGACGAAAGGTGTGACGTCATATATGTACTCGTATACTTAAGAATGAAGTGGATGTGAAACGATTTTTATTGTTTGAAGTCAAACCTTTGTGGCTTGACTTCAGATAGTGTCATACCTACTTTTCAGTTCACGGTGATTAGCGTATCTAGTTTAAATGAAATATACACACAACTATGTTATATTTTGAAACAGTCTGCTTGGTCCTGATATATTTGACTGCCCTCTACTTATCTTGCAGTCTTTCGAAGAGACAAAATTCCCAACTTTTTACGGCGAACAACAGTCAATGCGAGCTACTGAACGTGTACATGTACCACTCGGTTTTTACTTGGTCACTAAAACACAGATCTATTTTCCGAGCGCAGAGCATCTAGCAGCAGCAAATCAAACGACTGGGACGCCTAAGTCCAAATAAAATTATTGATACAAGTGCAACGTAGGTAAAAATATCTAGTCCTAAATGCTAAAAACCGTTTTTTTTCTGGCTAATTCGCTTTCTAAGAATTCCTATATCTTTTGGGCTATTACATAGTCTCAGAAACTTCAGTGATTGAACGCGGTACTTTCTTTGACCTGTGCAATTTCAATTAAGAAGTTTAAATTAAAAGTTATGTGGAACACTAATGCTTTCGTAGATAAAATGAATGAATCGAAAACATTTTTTGAGCCCTGACAGGAAGTCCACTCAACTTAATTAGTTCAACGGAAACTAAGATAGGCGCGTATCGGGCTTACCAATAATACTATAGCTATGCCAGGGAAACTAGGGATAAGAGCACCCCTCCATGATCGTACTCAAGATTTATAAAAAAATTGGCACTTCGTAATGGTGCATTATTGCTTTCTTACCCCGGCAGTCCAAACAATTCGATGAAAGCCTCCATATAGCACAATCCATTTGTAGTCGATTGGCCATCCTGCACGAAATGGATATGCTCCGAATACAGAGACTGCCATCAGAAGAAGTGCTGAGATATTACCCAGCAATATTTGAACCTGCAAGTCAAATATGGTTTAAAGGATGTTGCACTATATAGAAGAAAGGTGTTTCCAATTTACTGCGTCATTCAACTCGTTTTACATGTAATACATATGTAACAATACACTATGAAATTCAGTCGTATGAACTACTGTATTTTATTATATTAGGTCGTTCAGTTGAACCATAGTAAACCTCGTGTTTTGAAATGGTACTACTTTGATGAAGACAATCTATATTAAGCACTCAGATTATGAAGTCAAAGTAAATGCTTCTATTGCACGACAACGCTCAACCTAAAATCGCAAGAACCACGATGGCAAAAATACAGAATGTCACAGTTAGAGGCTTTCTTTAATTCTGTATTCTCATCAAATTTTGTCTTACAGATTACGTAGTTTTCAAAATCTTGACAGTTCTTCTAAGCTTCTAAGGGAAAATTCTTCTAAGCTCGACATGATCGAGACCTCAAAAAGTTCATGTATGCTCCTATTCCAAGCCTCTACGGCAGAAGAATAAATAAATTATCATCCAAGTCGCAAAAAGTCACAGATATTAGTCCTTAAATAGAAACAAAGATAAAAAATAATATTTGTAAAAGCCAAAAATTGAAGGTCCACTATGTCGCAGAAGGGCCTAATAGATAGGTTTCACTTGCAATTCCTAGTAGACTAATGTATATATTTAAAAAAAAGTAAACAAATTTTGTTATCCTGCTTAGTTTGTTCAGTAGCCATGATTCAAACAGTACACTCATACTAGTACATACAAATAGTAGTGAACCAAGGTCGCAGAAAAGGCAGCAAATCAATTTCCTCTTGGAAACATCAATGTGGTGGCCATCATGTTAGGCAATTTAGGTGTTCCGTGTTTAGAACAGAATCATGAATAAGCTTCTGAACATTTTGAGAACATATGTAAAAAAACAACTGCATAATATTATTAGCATGGTTCAGAGATACCTATATGGTGCATACTGTTATCCAAAACGACACGACTCAGGAATCGGATGAGAATAATGTAAACTGTTTTCGTTGAGAATCGTTGTCAGATAGGGTATGGTGGTAAATATAAGCCTAAACCGATATTGGTCTTGAAATCTAGCTTCATATAAGAAGACATCTATAATGGATTCAATGTAACTGTCATTTGCTAATTACCTTCAAAACCTCATCCTGTTCGTGAACATCCTTATAAATAAAGTGATCTTAATACGTATAGATCCACTGAAGCCTAATCTGAACGTATCAAACAAAAAACTGAGCGGATCAAAATTGTCGGCTTAACAAAGATTTCCAAAGTAAAGTCCAACTATAAGTAACGAACCTCCAGCAAACATAATGGTTTGCGTTTGTTGCAAAAAATGTCCGCGAGCGCAAATCGACTCAACCTAACAATTATGTTGAAGCGGGCTTCTTATGTGTTAATGCTACGTGTGTATGTTATTATTTTCGATAAGATTAGATACAAACGGTATAGGTCAATGTGTTACAGGTTTGGTAATGTCATGAAGTTTACGCAACTTAGAGGCCGCTCAAGAGTACTTATGCCACGTTTCTTCATTGTAAGAAATCAATACATTCAAATATATATTTAAACGTAAACCCACTACATAAACTACAACTTGAAGTGTACTTATTTAGATGTTTCATCGCTGCATATATTATTTTTCAACAAGTCTTTACCCTAGCGTATTCGTTTCTATTTCAACAACGTACTGTGTTTAATTTTGGAGAGTATCCTTCGGTGAGTAGATAGCCTAGAAGCATTCCCATACAGAAAGGTCCAAGGTGTGTATACGGCATATAATAGACATAGCTGATGAAATTTACCGCTTTGCTGAAATACAAATACAGTATAATTTAAAGAAACAAGCAGACGGACGGTGAGGATATATTAAAGCAAATCATAAGATTAGACAAGAGACCCATTTATCTTAGGGATGAGGGCGAGAACATTTTCATGATGAAAATAAATATCTGGCATAGAAACTATATTTACCTATGATTCTAGAAAATATTGGCTTCATTACAGTGTCCTGTTCCGAAGTTGAAACGATCAGCAGAACCAATCGAAGGTACTGATAAAAAAGGTAAATTGAACAGTACATTATAAAGAAGCTACGCTTCCTCAGCGGCTCACCTATTTCGTCTGATTGCTGAATAGTTAGTCACAGAAGATAGAAGACAATCGTCTTCTATCGTCGTAGTTCTAAGTGCATCACGCTGCTAAGGTTGAAATGCATAGAAATTATTTTTTTCAAGTCTGCTGCATTTTCCCATCGTCGCGTTAATTTCTGTTATTTTATTATTTCTTGAATGTACTGAATTCACTTCGGTTTCACGATCCACACTGGCTAGAACTCGGTATTAAACTTCTCCAAAACAAACTCTAAAGAAATCCAATTAATCCTTCTCATTTTAGATTCTGGAGAGTTTAATCACAAATGTCTAACCATCGCGACTGGTTCAACGTATTCAGACGCTTTTGTGCGCGCTTGCTTAGCTATGATTGAAACTGATTTACCTAAGAGAGTCGTTACTTAGATGTCGCGAAGATCTGGATGCAGGAATTTATTTCACCTTCTCGTCCATCTTCACGGTTAACCTCGATAGCATATGTTATTTTGCCTCATCGCTGTCCAGTGTGTGTTATGATTAATGGTCATTCTCATGAAAATTGATGGGATAGCGCCAGCGGGCTACTCAAATCCTGCCAAGAGATTTGGCAATGTGCGAAAGAAAATACATCGGAATTTTCGAGCAACTCAGTTTTAAAGATGAAGCTTCGCTTGGAATGTGTTCGCATACCTTCTTTTTATTGTTTAGCTGGGACACGTGTGTCCTGATCTTCTCAATGGTCTGTCCTCATCAAAAGCGACCATTTTCGTGTAGTCAGCTACTAAGTAAATGACGTCTGTCACTTTTATAAATTTTGGCCGTTTAACTGAAAAAATGAGTCGGCACCTCGTGGTTTCATAGGAAGATACTCTTTTCTAGGTTATGATTATTGGTTTTGAACATCGTGTAGGCAGGATTGAAAATGTATACCGTTCTTAAAAAGAGAGAAGCCAGATTTCAAATTCGTTATGAAGTACGTATGTGTCCCAACCTTTTTAATCTCTATCCGCTATTTCTATGTAAATATTATGTCTACTTACTCATATTGTGCGGTCATCATAAGCATAGCAGGTGGATATTCATTCACAGCAAGTGTGATGCAAACGACGACGCACCCGAGCAATGACGCCATTGCCATGATGACGCTCGTTAGACGCGGACGACGCCGCAAGGCATGTGCTAATGGCACTCCTACTATGAAGAGCTGCATATTGACAGCTATGAACCATGAGTGGAGCATAAGGTTGTCACTCCACTGCACAAAGTTATTTACGAATATTAAGTTTGTCCAACTTGTTTCATAGACGTTTCGACGGATATTTGAGAATACCTAGAATAAAGAAGCAAACGTATATTATAGACGCAGGCTTATTCGGTAGCAGCTATTCGTTAAAATGCCCTTATCTACACCGATGGTCCAATCAGTACCGAGTAGATAGGCTCAGAGGCAGCGCAACATATATTCGAGTAGTTTGTTGTATTTCAAAATAGAATACAAATTCTAAACAACAAGCTCTTCAGCATATCATACTTCCTGTTAGTGGCAGCACATATCTTAGGGGGGCAGCTCTGTCGTTCAAAATATGTAGGAAATAAAGATTCGTGCAGAAAAGCTGACAAAAGTGTAGCAATATAAACACATATAAAATAATAATAATAAAAATTGCTTAAATCGAGATCATTGCCGTAGAGAGTCGTCAAATATAGCCTCACCAAGAACAAGCTATTCCAATCCACCCCCGTGTGAATTTTGTACGCCTTCATTTGATCGAAGCGGGAATCTCGAAAACATCTAGGAAGCGAAATAACTATATAAATAAAACCTATCACATCTGTAAGCCAGGCAATTCATAAGGAACTTATGCAGAACTTTAGATTTATAAGTTGTACGAGAAATGACAGGCCTGCATCTGTTTGAAAAAAGCTTATGACAACGACAATTTTATTTTAGTTAGAACATAATTTAACCATAATGTGGTTGCATCGTGAATTATGATGGTCGTTAGGTTAGGTCAGTACGAAGACCGCTTAGAACTAGTTAGATCAGCACTACTTCAATAATATATCAATTTCCGAGGAAGCACATTCGAATCAACAGATACAGAAAATGACAACACCCAAGTTTTTTTTTCTTTTTGGTGGGCCCTTTCCCTATATGTACCGAAAATAATTCACAAAGGGGTCAAACATTGAATTCAATGCTTTTTGCATGGAAATGCCTCAATTTTTTTTTCGCAGCGATATAAAAACGATTAGTTGCCGTTACATGTCTAAGCTATCGTTACATATGTCCATCACCTACATTTTCAACGAAGTTCAGAAGATACTATAGCTTGCGTCCGAATTTATGACACAGTTTTGCATTCTTCATGTTTTATTCGATAAAAATGATTTGTTAATATATTATATAATAATTTATAGTAATTATAATAATATATTATACTATGAATAAAAAATTGATGCTCCAAAATTCTGGATATAGTTTCGTGGCGAAGATAACAAGACATGAACTTAACGATGCAGAGGATTTACTGTCTAGAAGCAAGCTTTATCACTAAAAGCGTGTTACATACCTCGTTCCACATAGGACCCTGTCCGAAAGCTGGCATCAAAATGTAGAGCCCATGTAGCAGCAGGTAACATGGATAAATTCTGTTTAAAAAAAGGTTGGAGTAATTAGAAGTTAAAGCTACTCATTCTACAATACAATTGGAATGGCTACACAAAGTTCTCCTACACGGAGTGTGATAATAGTTCGTCGCCAACCAATCCTTAAGTACTATTCAAGACGGGTGAAATATACACTACACGAGACAAGTGTCCTTTGTCATTTTCTAAATTATTTAATTCATTTGAATGTAATCTACTCTCTCCTAACTTCTCTTATTTTTATATAATACATATTTATTTATTTAAAATCACTTTGCTTAGGCATTTGTGAAAAGGTTATGCTGAGTAGTAATTGATTTACATCTTCTAAAAAAAAATGCACTGGTATTGATTCCTTTGTATGTCCGAATCATGCGGAAGTGTGCTAGGTAGCTCCGTACTTATCCCATAATTTCTGAAGGTTATGTTAATCGGCAGAAGCTCGTGCATCGATGAGCGCCTAGAATACCCGGTCTCTGCTAGTGCAAGTATTTACACTGTGTCTGTTGTGAGAAATGCGCACAACAATCGGCAGCAAACGTTTTCTTTGAACATCCATAGAACACGACTATTGGAACAGCTGCGGTGTTAAACAAATAGCAGTGCTTTCTGGCCCCTGAGTCCTAAGTGGGCCAAAAAATGAGCACAAAAATTTCCGACATCAAAAACGCCCAAAAAGTACCCCAAAATTTGAATGGTCCGGTGGCCGTCTTTTTACAGACAAACTGTCATGAGTGCACGGAATTCCAGGAAAAACAATTTATAACAGCAGTTGGGTCGCTTGCTGTGAAATTGAAAGAGCTACACCTGGATCTTCAACTACGTAACCTATCTCTTCTGCTGTTTGGGTCTAGTAATGAGGTATTTACCGAAAAAAACAATTTAGGACAGTGCGTACTTCTCTGCTATATCTTTCTAAATCACAAGGTGTCATGTCGTTGAGAGTAATAACGGTAATGTAGCTAAGAAGGCTGCATATATATTAGGAGAATCGAACGTCCTTGGTATGAAGTTAAAAAATATTTCCAAGGAAAGGGCGCAGTCGAATTGCAGGGACAGGTCCTTACCATCGGTAGTCTGCCACGAAGAAACTCGATAGTACAGAATGTTGGTCTGGATACCACAGTCTAGAGCCTCTGTGTGTTTTGTAGAGAGCGCACCAAAGCATCGTTAGTACTTCAAACTTTGAAAGAGCATTTCTTGATGTTCGATTCGGTTCTACGATCTGTGTTACCCACCATGAAATTGTCGCGGCTGCGGTCATCATCGACGCTTGAAAACTTTGTGAATCAAGCTTAATCGTGCTGAAACCACAGGCCATGCTCAAGCTTTTCTCTAAACTACAATCGCTTGTACCGGAAGCCTGGGATACATTCGGTATCTATGTCCGCACGGAAACACCCGCAACCGGCCAATGCAGCTTACCGGAATTTCACATCGTTCACTGCACTCTGCGGGCGAGAATGAGCGCTGGTCGTCGCGCCTTATGGAAGACAATTTATTGCCTCGTGTGGCTCACAGATACGGCTTGCGGCGGCGTACGTGCGGTTAAGTGACAAGAAATACCCATTGACCCACGTATAGAAGCCATGGCTCACCCTACTTCTGGCGCCTTCGTCATTGTGACAAAAGATCTTAGCGCGCCTCTGAACGAGTCCACCTCAAGCCGTACATCAGCCGTACGGAACACGCTGATAGAGTATTATTGCTAAGTAGTTAAGCGCAACACAGTACTAGCCCTTATCGAGCTTTCCAAGCGCAAATTTAGGTCTAATTAACTTCAAGCTTCCCTTGAGACCATTGCGCTAGGAGAAATAAACTTTTAGCATGTGAATTAGGCTCGAAAAAGCTTCTGAAACGAGCTCATGAAGTTCCCTCTAAAATTCGATTAATGATAAAACGATGCGCGTTATTTTGTCGAAACCTTGCATTCTTGAATTTGTCCTGCCCGCTCTAGGAGACATCGGTTTTGGTTTGACTACAATTTCCACTTTGTTTACCGTGCCCCACATGCTTTCAATAATATACTGACAACACAACATCTTGCAGCGGGTCCCCTGGTTGTAGCGCTCAAGGTGATTTGTTGAAAAACATAAACCATTCAGTGCAAGAAATATCCGAAATAGCACATAAGCTGATCTTATAAAATAAGCCGAGCTACAGCCATATAAATGGCTTGGCCCGCGTCGCGTCCTCTCATTTCAATAGCGTTTATCAGCAACTTCGTCGAAGCCTAACCATTTAATAACGTTGTTCCTGAGGAATCTCGTTGCTCAGCATAGGGTAGAACAAACAGACAATACCCGAATACGAACTTTTGGTTTAGAAATTTCCGTTCTGACAGTCAGTAAGGTATTCGGGAGTTTATGCGCAAAAAGGCAGCCAGAGTCAGTACTCGAAATGAAGACTTCAAGGCGTCCTATGGACGGCGCCGTGTTGGACCGCTTTGTTCGAAAGATGCCTTCGTTCTGAACTGCTTTCCTTTTAATGAAGATATTCAAAGCTTGTTATTATCCATGAAGGCAAAAGCGACCCAAATCAGGCGTTGTGAGATGGGATCGTAGAGAAAATTGTTTGCTATAAACTTCTTTCCTATCTATTGGCAAGAAGACTAAACGCGTTCCTAGAGAATGTGACTGTGGTACTCACGAAGCAACATGGATTTAGAAGGATTTATTTGAACGATACAGAATGCAGCGGCCTATACGTCGACATCAAGTACCGTCGACAATACACTTGAATAGTATCTGTGAACCTTAAAACAGAATTTGACTTTACCTCAAAGTATTTAGTCCTAAGTACTTTCGCTGACGTCTGCTTATCGCTCGCGGTACTCTAGGAAAAAATAGATAATGGGGTTTTGGAGCTGCCGGTGTTCCCTCAAACCGCAACTGTTACGCAGAGTGATAACTGAAACTTGCTCCCTCGTTCAGTCCTGCCTAAAGATCTACCCAACTAGATACGAGGCACTAGGAAGTCGACGATTCACATATTTACGGAAACAATCACTCCCATCTGCAGCACGCTTTAGCTAGATTACATCCTACCGTCAATTTAATCAAGGCCGAGGCAATGGAATTCGAAAAAGGTGGCAGTGTTGTGGCTTGTGCCACAGTTTAACTGTCGACCCCTGACGTACGTTAACCGATCTCGTATAACGGTCACTGCTTCTCCACTGTTCCAGCATATTAAAGAAAGATGCGAAGAGCTCTTGATAGCTCTCTCGACTACTGTGCGACTTTTCGACCCCCAAGTTGCACCGGGCGCCGCATATGGTGTGAGCATAATTTAGGAGAACCTTACGGTCGAGCAACTGATTCGGACAAAACCCTCATTCCCAAAAAGAGCCCTGGAATTGCGCTGGCCGACCCGTAACAGGCTTGTCTACTTGTTGACGGCGATGCCACTGTTTGCTAACGATTTCCGTTGCCACTCAATGTACTGTCGGCTTTAGCACTCTGAGAAAATCTAGAAAAACGGAATTGAAGATTAGCAGAAATCGACTTCAAATTTAAAAAACGGGAGCCATAACAAATGAGACCTGAAAAGGATTTGATCGATCTAACAGACATCTAGTGATGCACTATGCAGTTCATTGTTTTTACAATCGCCTACCCAATTGCAGGAATTTCATGCAGCTGATAAATATTGCGTTTGTATTAGATAAGCAACTTTGTGATATGCATCGTGCTCCTCGCTGCCCACAAGTCCTAACCCTAAGTATCCTGACTCGCCAAAAAACCGGAGAGTGGCAATAGTATGGTGCACTATACATTCGTTAAGAGGTCTTGATTTAAGATGTGTTTTTTTGGATTTTAGGTTGCCCACTTCAAAAAGCGCAATAGGACCTCAGCTTTAGACCGGCTCGTGAAACATTCTTATGTATGGTAGAGTACAGCGCATCTAGTTTATTATAGTAAGTTATTATAAATATATGTACTTCAATATCAATAAACGAATATTTTAGCTATCAATCACAGTTTTATTACCATTTAAAAAATGGGGTCTTCACAGAAAAAAAATTATATGGAACCTGACAGTAACTGTAAGAAGGATTATCCATAAAAAGTTATGGTTTATTGCCTTTATTTTTAAAAACTATTGGGAGAATACTATTCCGAGCTCTAGCACAAAACAGTAGCTCAAGGGATTCTCTTTCAATGCGATTTTCAATGATAGCCTGAATTTGCTTGGCAAGGTTTTCTTCCCTTTCAGTATTGTTATCATGATTGCGCTGATTGCTTTCCAGGGCCTTTGGTATCATTGAAAGAGTGCAACTTACCTATGTCAACTGCTTCTTAGCATATTAAGCAGGTAAAGAATTTGCACGCTGGATAGTAGCTATGCGGCAGGAGTTGGAGTTTAGCATGGTGCGAAACTGTAGGGAAACCAATGCTTTCGCCTGTGCTTTACTAAAGCAACGTTTAGTACATAAAAGAAAGACCTTTTCTCAAGAGCCTTGTAAAAAGACTAGGGTTACGATAAGATAAATGAAGCCCTTACGACTAACACTGTTAGGCCTCGTCCTGCTATTTTAGTGAGCGCCTTGCTTTTAGGAAAGTACAACAGGCTCCCCTTGGCTCTATTATACAATTGGAAAATGGTTCTTTTCGTCATCGATCAGTAAGTCTCTTCGTATTAACATAATTTAGTAATCATTCGAGTAAAAAATAACACCTCGATTGTTCATAAACCTTTATGAACAACTGGCCTACACAAACTGTAGCTAACCCCCCCCCCCCCCCAATCCTGCTAAGCTGATAGAGCATGACTAGTTTTTTCCTTTACTACAGATGTTTGCAGCAACCTTCCATAGACTTAGATTGTGTGCAACTGGCCTGATGTATTCGTTTTTTCCTTTAAGTGATGCATAACTGTCCAGTGAGCTTGCTCGGCGAAGGGATCAGATCGTTTTTGTGATACACTCTGGAGGTCATAGATGTTTGTTGCTCAACTTTGCCTGATGCGATTTTTCAGGATCACTATTTTGCCCTGTATTTCGATGGGGGATTAGGGAAATAACATTCTGCAAAGTTTTACCCTGCAGTTTCCTTACATAACTTACAGAACCCCTAGATGAGATAAAATCTTTGATTTGCTCCGAGAAAAAATTAAGATCGTAGTTAATTGACAGTAAATTGAAGTTAGCTAGCATACACTGCCACACGGGATTCTATAATGCCTTCTAGTATCTGCCTTGCTAGTCTGAGTACCCTATGTGCTTGTCCTTAAATTGGATCAGAGGTCGTATGTGACGGTGTAGAAATAGGTTATTTGATTGAACGATCGTTTTCTGAAAGACGCAACTCGCACGCACCGGAAATTATAACGATATACATTTGCATGGTTTGTAATTGCAAACTTGTTGTACTCGCATCTTTCGTGTGTATAAAGTACAAGTGTAGTGAACTTCGGTTGAAAACTGTGTTACCTCAGATTGAGGCTCTGCGATTTCTCGATATTGAGATGCAAGTTGAGTACTGGTAAGTTACGGAGATTTGGCTCCTTACAAACCGGATCCTAAATTTGGCAATACTTTAAGATATGAGCTTCCAAACGAAAAGTTATTATTAAAATTACGTATTTGGACTTCAAGAACGCTTTTTTATAGGCGGATTTTTCTTTAGCCGATCTGAAAGCGGATGTTTGATTAAGCCGTTCAGTTTAAAAGTTGTGACCATTTAATCGCGCGCAAGTTTGTTCCAGAAAGTCTAGTAGATCGCTCCACAGCTGTATATTCAGGACGTTATTTTCTAGCCTCTCAGTACATCGTTTAGTCTTGTATCGTAGCTTTGCATTGAGTGTAGGGAGTTGGCCGCAACTAAATGGAGCCGCCAATACTGCTGCCTGTGAACACATGGCAGCGTTAATTTATGCATATAGATATTTACTTTAATGAATACAATATAATCAGGCAGTTTTGTTGTAATTTTCTAATACGGTAACTTTAGCATATACTCTTTTACATGTTTGTATTAAAAATGGAACACACGTTCTATAAAACAGCATTAATTGTGATAACATGCAACAAACCTGTAAATCCTGCGGAAGACCTGTGATGCCCAGGACCTGTATGAGAACGGTTTTAATTCGTCATCTCGCGATGTCCATATCAACAGGAGCCCACTTGTAAATTATAAAACAGCTTCGTAATCAGTATCGTTCCAGAAACTTTAAATAATAAAGTATTTGACAAAGTGACAAACTGCTGACATACTTTCGTGTCAAATTTTTTTCAACGGAATATAGTTGTTCCAACTATAAGAATGTAAAACCTATTTTGATACTTGTGCGAAGTTCTCTATGATATTTATAAATTGTGAAGAGATGCGTTATGCAGGATTCGTCCTGGGATTATGTTGTTTCGAAAATACACGTTCGATGAGCCTACTTTGTATATTCGAATTTGTTTTATATTTAGATGCCTAAATATATAAATACGCTAGCATAATTACATTTCAATTATAAATAGCCGACTTTGTGAATTTGATATTTTGAGTGTACTTTATTAGGCACATGGTAAATGGAGCACTACATAGGATCCTACAGGATTTCATGTACACAAATGCTCAGAAATAGTAATGGGGTATTATTATTATTAACATACTTCGCGATAAAAGAGCTCTCAGCCTCTATCCTGATAACAAGATATTGCTTAATATTTTTCGTATTTGTTCATAGGAGGCCATGGAAAGTAATTGTAGGTTTCATCAACCTGATGCTATTTTTTAAATTTGTATATTGAGTTATCGGAAAAGCTTTAAAATTACACATGTCGAATGGTGCGGATTGCGACAGGTCGATGCTGCTGTTCTTTGAAAGCTAAGATTTGGCAGTCGTAGATGTGTTGGCATACTAATAAAATAGAGTGCCTAGAAGATGAGTGAAAGTTTTGCACAAACTCACTCTATCTCAAAATTTTATTGCGGTAAAGGCATAGATGCTACACACGATTACAAAAAAATCGTGCTATTTATTTATAATCAGGATGCTTTATCGGAAGGAACGTCGTTATCGGCTCAAAAATGGTTCTGTCTGCTGTAAAAGATGTTTCCCGTAGTAATGGGCCAATTACGGAAAAAGTAAATGAAATTACTGCTAAAGTTAAGCAAGACTTGATATTGCCAAGGGACTGAACATGCACCATTAGACAGCTTAGAACTACTTAAACAAGATTAACTAGAGAAAAATGCTTGACATTTGGGTGGCATACGAATTGACGCAGAAAAATTTATTCGATCATATTTCCACCTGCAAAACTCTGCAGGAATGCAATAAAATTAAACTTTCTTTTAAACCGCTTGATCACAAGTGATGAAAAGTGGATCACAGAACAATAATATACGAGCAAAAAATTGTGCTCCACAATCTGTGGCAAAGCCCAGACTGCTGTCAAAGAAAGTGATGCTATCTGACTGGAAAGGAATCGAGCGTTACGAGTAGCTGCTACCTAACAACAACATTTGTTCGGACGTCTATTATCAATCACTAACAAAATTCCGATAGGTCTCTGGAAAAAAACTCAACCGTTAAGTAATGACCAGAAGAAAAGCTTTGTCTTCCACTACGCCAAACCATGTGCCTGTGTAGTTACCCAGCAAAAATTAAAGGAACTTCAGTGTTTCAATGTGTTCCCCTTGTAACTCGGATCTTGCTCCATATGCTTTTAATTATGTTAGTCTAACTTCCATTAAAGGATAACTTAATAAGATATAACTTAAGTAATAATAAAAAAAAACACAATTTTTTGCGCAAAACACAAAGGTTGGCCAGAAAAATGATTGCATTTCAATTCAAGGAATTTTCTTCCCGAGGTAATGTCAGATTAGTGAAGTGTTTACTAATCTGACATCACCTCAATCTACGAATACAGAGCAGACGTACTATCTAAGCGCCCGGATGCTCACGCAGAGATTAGAGATTACTAATCATAAGACTTGATCGTATTGTCATGATGATTCTCTTGTCAAAATGGTCAACTGCGCGTATTTATTTACTTCGTATAAAACACGAAATCTAGTGGTAATTTGATCGCTTCCTGTTTGCCTTCGGAGCGCGTAAACAAGTTAATAAGTTAAGATAATAACAACCTTACATTATCATAACGTCGATCTAAAAAAAGTAGAAAAAGAGAATTCTCAAGTTCTAGAATTGCACGCATAGCGTCTTAGTCAATACGGTGAACGTTTAGTGATTGAATTAATCCAGAGAGGAGTCCGTAAACATTGAAAAATGCTGCATGGCTGATAGGGCGGGAACGTCATATCCTAATACTTTGTTATGTCTGGATTAGTGTGTAAAACAAAATTTCTACTTATCACTTTCGTTAATGTACCACCAATTATATCAGGTGATTTAATGCGGTCAAGTTTATGAATAAGGCCATGCAAAAAACACAACTGAATTGTGAGCAAAAAGCTCAGACAAAGGGTCCTGTAGTTTCAAACGTAAAACTCGAATCATTTACCATTAGTAAGTAACAATTCAAATGCTACTATGAAGAAGTAGATGCCGATTCACAGGAGTGAGACTCCGTATTAGATTTTTCAAATACTTCAAGTTCTAAAATCAGAGCGCAGCGCAATAATGCTCCTCGCCTTTCGTAAAATATTTGAGATGGCCTTGACCGCTGTATAAACGATAGGACTTTAGAAACATCGATGCTGAAAGTTTGCAGAAATATGAAAAATGAGCGTATTGAATAGATACCAATTTTCTGAAGATACTCACAGCTACCGTTTTTTTTGTCGGATACTTTTTAATTTAAATATGGCCGCTAGTTTCGTCACTGCCGCGGGTAATAATATGATTATCGTCAAGGGATAGTATTTTATCAGTGACTGCACGCTCTAAACGTTTATCATCTACAAAAATAAGAAAAGCGAACACTACGAGCTTATAAAGATCGATACATTTGAGTTTTACTATGCATTACCAGTTAGAATATAAATGAAACGTTGAACACGATGGAACATTTCAGTAGTCTTTGGAACCCCCGCTGGAATACAACTTGTTCTTAAGTAGTGACAAGTAAGACTGAAGGCCTTGGGTCAGTCACCGGTCGAGCGGACCTATAGGCAGTGAGCGGCCAGGGAAGCTGCACATGTAGGTATTTTTACCATTTTATTTGCCGATTTTTTTAATGTGAATTATAATCATCTAATTATTTACTAGAGAGAATAATTTGATTAGGTATAGTGTGTAGGGATCCATCAATGTAAAGCCTCTTTTTTGAACGTCGAAGAACGTCCTCCCTTTACTCTGTAGTCAGATACGTTGCTGCTGCTGCATTACATGTATAAAATGGCATGCTTAAGAAGTTATCTACACACACACACACACACATTCTCTGTGATGCCTGAATTAAATTTCGGTTCCTTACTAAATCGTGAATATTACTTCTGATTAATCGGCACATAGAGGGATGTACGACGGATTTTATCATCGTCACGTTTAGCTATTTAGACATTATATAGCTCAATGGTCAAACTATTATTACTCACGTAATAGCAAAAAACGTGTCAACAGGAAGTGAAAAATTCTCAACGACTGTGAATAGAAAGCTGCTGAACAAGTCTTCCAGTTTGCGAAGACTGGCTGAAAGATAATAGTAAAAGACACGAATATCTATTAGCATTGTTACAAGAGTTAAATACATCGGTAGTATAACTATGGCTCGATGGTAGTTCATAACAAGTGAAACAAGTTAACCGGTCTATATATTTACAGTGAGTAGGCCATCGCTGCGCAGATGCGAAGACCAGCTTTATTTTTGCTACTCGTAAACGTACAAATAACCGATTTAGTTGTCCCGGGTCCAACTTTATAATAACTTGCTAATGCATTGTATGGGCATATGGGATGAATTATTTATTTAGGTTTACGAAAATATTTCGACCACTGAGAATGAACCGTTCGAAAAATCCTAATTCTATCTATCTTATAATTCCTATAATCTGGATAATAGTTTTCTGGCAAGATAAATCTAGTGTGAATATATTAATGGTCTTGCAGTTTGGGGTGAAAAATATGCACATTGATTGCAGTATTTAAAGACCTCTCATTAAAGCTAGGTCACAATTTTTCGGCAGTCGCTCAGTGCCAACATTGACCAATTTTGTTATCTACCTCTACATATCCAAAACCGAATTTATTATCCATCAAAAGCTTTAATAATTGCTACATTACTAAATAATCTGATTAACTTTTTCAACTAAACTTAGTCAAGTGTCTATTTAGGTTTAAGTTAGTATCTCGCTACGTCATTCAAAGCAGCAGAAAAATACTCACCGTCTTAACAAAAATGTTTCCAAACTTATTGGGAATTTTCAGAAAATGCAGATATGAATAATGATCAAAGAATATTAAAAGCATATTTTTTCCATTATTATTATTTAAAATATTCATTTTCGATATTAATTGAAAACTGATTCTATAATAACCCTCTGTGGTTCAATGAGATTTTCGCTCAACTTACTGGACACCACTGATGGGTCTTACGCTTTGCACTTAAACATCCTAAAGATAATTACCTCAATAAATATGACTGTGTTAATATATAAAATCAGCAACTGTAAAAGGGCAAATCGTACCGAATCTTGCAAATGAATCGAGGTCTGTCATGAAGTAAATATGTCCAAGAACGATCCACCCACACGAGATTGTTCGTATGCCATACAGACAACGAATGTTCCGTTTTGACGAGCTCATCTGTAATAGCCATCGTTGTAATAGGCAACAAAATAACCTAGTACAGGTAAAGCCTTCAAAATTCTCACAAGACATCCCAAAAGTCATAAGTTGAAGATTGTCAAATAGTTCATACACGTTCAGTTGACGCAGGATAAAAACGAATTTATCTTTCATATTGCCCTAAAATATGAATTTCTTCTATAATATGTATGTATACATTAGTTTAAATATTTATAGTTATACAGAAAACAACCTTAAATATCTTTCCGGAATTTTGTATCGCAGAGAAATTAAGCAGAAGAAGGTGGGTCCTAGAAGACTTGTTGGTTGTAGAGAAAAGTTCGTAGATTGTACATGTCAAGCAAAAGGCCAACATAAGCCCCACGCAACAACTGCAAAAAAAAATTAGAAGCTATAAATTATCAAATATTTTATACTCATTCCAATTATTTTATCATACATATATTTGCTGATTACTTCAAGCAATTGAAAGAAAGTTTTCTGTTTTTGTACTTTTCACCACCTGGCTGTAGATAACCCAATATGAAATAGATGCTTAAATAGTACGATTAAAAAACCAAAAAAAAAAAGTAACGTTTTGAATAATTCTGTCAAACCAAAAGTTTGAAATCGCAGTTCTATATAATGAATATATATTATGAGCCAGCTTGTTATTGGCGGATACAGAAAAATACGTGTTTTCTTCAAACATGAAAACTCATCATGAGTTCTGAGAGAAAAAATTATTGTATTCTAAGAACAGCTCATGAAGGATTTGTTGGGAGTTTTCTCGTCGGACCGACGGCGCGCGATACTATCTTCGGGAAAATGACGGCCTGCAGAGTTGTTAATTGCCGAAAGAATTACGAGGAATCAGAGAAAGATTGTGATCTGCTAATGCAAAACATTGTCTGTATTAAAAAAAAAGTTAATCCAATTGACCAAAAATGCCTACGTGATAATGCTTCTATTTCGATTTTGTAAGCTGGCAATTGTAGTTTGACGTAACTAACTTCAGAAGCACATCTGTCATTAAGTATATTAGGTGCCCTTGAATGACACTAAGGCCAAGTACTCTACTGTCCTAAATTCTTTCAAACCTCAGGGGAAACATAACCGCTTGTTCCCGCCTATCCGAAAGCGGTTTTGTTATTGGCAAAACCAAACCATTAACTCGCTTTCATGTTTTTCGAACGACAACGTCGCCATACAACAGCATTTCTTTTGAGTAGACGAAAGCTAACGAAAAACATATATTACGGTGTTTTACAAAACTTGGTAAAACCGCGAACCAATACCTCTGTACAGAAAAAAAACCGACTGAAAGACGAAGAACTGACTTACAATAGACATTCAAACGTTTTCTGGCCTTCTGAGCCATAAGCTTAGTTTTGCGTATTTCTAGAACTAATTTTTTGAAAAATACTTTTGCACGGCACGGACAAGGATTCTAAAAATTACTGAAGACCATAGCAGTTAGGTAGTTCGTTAACTAAATTATCAACTAAACATGCATTTGTTTGTTATAAGTGAAATGTTAGGTTTTCATATAAATCCACGCCGTTTTTTCATATATTTATCCGTTGTTGTGCAATTGTCTTATGGTGGCTAATTATCTTCGACCACCTTAGCTCCATGTTTTAGCCCCAAGCTCATAAATATATTGGTATAAATGTCCGTTTAATATATTTAATTAAAAGAACGTTTTTTCGTAAAAAAGTTTGCATATACCCCCCTCCCCCCCAAGAGGGAAACAGATAACAGGATGACGAAGCGAGGTTGAGCCTGCGAAGCGAGTGACATAGGATACTTTAGCCAAAACCCAGTATTTTTTGGAGACATACAACATATATGTGAAAAAAAAAAACCCTATCTGCTGCGTAATTCTGTCGAAAACTCGTTTTGCCATTTTCAGCAAATATTGTTCTCAATTTACCCTGCTTTTCACAGCTTTGGCCACCGAAATAACCTACGTCAAATCTGTATCAGCATTCATTTCTCTGTGTTGAATTCGTAGTTTTGTTTATGGGGCAGCCAAACTCTGAGAGTTGGACGCGTTATTAGGTACGAAAATCGGTCCAACCCGTTTCGTCTGCTATGGATCTGCATTGTCAAAAGCGTTATTAGTGTCGTTAGGTTTGTGAAACTTAGTCTTCCGTCTCCAGATCAAAATAAAAACATATGCCATAAATTCCTTTTTTGAATGCAACCTTACAGTTACAGTTCGGATTCGAATAAACTTACGCTAACTAGCCATAAATGCAATATCAAACCATTCTCTCGCTACTTAGAATTTCCTAGACTCAAATGAATCTACATAGATATAAGTGAGGAAAAGGGAACCCAATAGTGGTTATCTAATTTGACCTATACAATTCTGGATTTGAAGGCCGTATTCACTTTTCGCAGACTAAATTGAATTTACAGATCCCCTGTTACGATGTTTACCTTACGTAAACAATAGCGTAAATGTGGACTTTTCGTACAACATCCACTCTGTGGCAAAAATTATTATTGATTTCTCAGGATATGCAACGTATTTTTCCCATAGGAGACCTCGTTTAAAAGTAAGAGGCAAAGAACGTACTTATTAAAAAAATGTACTTTGGGTCCGTTCTATTTAGTCTATATTTGTTATTTGCAACAAATTTACACCCGATGTGATGTAAAAGACGTCCTGTCTAGCTAAATAGGCTGACTTTTTAAGAAAATTTGTATGAATATTATAGTGTATCTTACAGGTAACAAAATATTAAGGGTCCACAGTACATAACACAGTACGCACTAAAAAACATTTTTAGGCGGGCTTATTGGCCGGAGAGTCATAGTTTTACCGTATAAGGTTAAACTTTGGGTGAAAGTGACATTATGAAATGGAACTTACTTAAAATGCCCGGCTATATAAGAGCCACTGTTTTGATTGAAAAATGGATACCTCTTATTTCTTAGACCGTTGAGAATTGCTCTATTTCAAAAGACCAAAATAGGATCGTGATACTTCCTACTAAGTTCTTGCCACAACCATGGCGTTGACTATGTTAAGTTTAATTCAAACTGATGTTCTTTACAGCTTGAAAGCTTGCTACCCAACAATATTTTCCTTTAACTTCTTTTTCGTCATTTTTGATATTAGGCTTCCACCGGTTGTCGTCTTTTCACTATAATTTTTCATGAATGACAATTTCGTGAAGGTAACAACGCACTGACACTCACAAAGACCCAACAGGAATGAATTCAGCTGTACGCACACGATGCGCAAGCCTGGGTAAGCATGGCCTTGGGTAAAACCACACACCAGACGTAGAAAAAACCGAACGATGAGAAATCATGCTTACGACGACTCTGCCGAGAAATATAAAACTTCTAAAACTCATGGCTGCCGTCCGACACCTGCTATAGTAGTGAGTCACAGCGAATACGTTGTCACGCGCGCTTCTGTCAATTGCAGTTGAATAACTGTTGAAAGCGAACGAGGACGAAGAGAATGAGTCGAAGAAGTCTGATCAGAGCTCAAAAGCTAACCTTGACGAAACTCAGGATGGATGACAAAGACACAATTCTAGCCGATACGGAAAGGATCGTTCATCTAACGATCCTTCGACGAAACAAAAGGCGACTACAGCTGACAACAGATAAACAACAACTGTCTACGGGGTACGGACCACATAATATCCCTTTGCACCCAAAACGACAATTAAGCTCTCAATCAAGCTAAAGCCAGCTACGTCGGTATATTGTAATTGAATGAGATAATCCTTCACGGAAAACAAGTGCCACTATAAATAATTGACATGTTATCAAAGAAAAAGGATTTTACTCTAATATGATCCTGTGCAAAAGGAGGTGGTAAAAGTACGTCTTAATTCGCTATACCAACAATAGTTCAAATAGTAATACCCCTGGCTATGAGCTAACATTCTACTAATAATTTTAATGTATTCATATGTGGTGAATTAAGTTATGAACGGAAAAATAATAATAACGGTAATAACACTGTGAATAATATTTACATCGTTGTCTGGTAATGCAAAATAGGTCACCTTAAAGCGATATTGAGAGATGGGTCGATAGCGACACCGATAAAGTTAGAGAGGACCGACCGAGCAAATTTGGTATATTTGTTAAGCATGCTCCCTATATTATTATTATTTATATTATATAGAATATTAGGTTATTTGTGCATCAGACGCGTGGACAGCACGCCAATAGAATGATTTGAGCCGTCGGCGTTCAGGTAAAAAGGTTGCTAGCGATGTCAAAGTGCATACGCGTAACACGCTAACTACAGTTCCATGGAAAGATAGGGCAAACTTGTGGTCTCAGGTAAAGGACGTAATTTACTTCTGCCAGCTAATATTACTCTAGTCGATGCTAAAACAATATGATTATTTTTAACGATCAAAGAAAGCAAAAGGTTTTGAAGATATACCATGATTACTTGCAATCGAGAGATCACGGCAAAAGGCCGAAAGACGTGCGAAAAGGTAGGTCAGCAGTTTCACTGAAAAGGCATAGCGGCAGACGTTAAGTCATGTATGACGATACGAGTGGAATTCGCAGTGGTCGAGAAAAAAAGTGCACATTTAAAGCAGGCTAATCCTTACATCGCCTCTAGAGGTCGTGCGCAGCGGACGTGGATGGACAATAGGTCGAGGTGGCGATATTGGAGTAGCAATGTCGGATCGCGCGGTTGTATTTAAGAGCAATAAACTACTTGTTCAGGAAAATCTAAGGGAATTTTTCTGCCAGTTGAGAATTAGGAATTAAACAACCCAGCGAAACGTTTGATTCGAAGCTCCAAGAGCAAATGGAATCAATCGACTATTAAGTAGGCATATAAAATTAATTGTGATTATTTGAAGAAATATTTCTTTGTCTTGGGGACGCAAGAAATCTAACTACGTTTCATCGCTAAGAATCGTTTCAAAGGATCAAGTGTTAATCTAACGGGAAACGGCATGCAGGTCTGAAAGGTCCGCCCGTTATAATGATCATAAAAAAAAACTTGCAAACAACACTCATAAATATACTTCGTTATCGTTTTATGGAAACCGGTACGATGAACAATGACCAAGTTACGTGAAGGTTAATAAATTGCGCTGACTAAAGACGTCGTGTTATTGTTATAATTTGGTAAGCCTACTTCATTACCTCGGTAATATGCTCTTCTAACGAATTTACCTCAAACTAGACTGTCCTAGGGAAACTGCCATACGCTAGTAACAACATATTTCATAGAGAAGTTGTAACCGATATGGAAACGAACCGAAAAATAATGGACAACGAAACAGAACAGATAGGAGCTTAGATAGGTGGCGTTTGTAAATCCAATGCACGAAACGTTATAATGTAGAAACTTATATATGTAGTCAGAACGAAGATATCCCCTGAAGAACCGAAGTTAAATGAATTAATTTAATGAATATGCTCGTATTGCTGAATTGCATTATTGTACAAATACGCCTCGTGACGTACTAGTACATACAATGACGTTACTTGAAATCAAAGATAGCATCTGACACAAGTGTTAGATGCTGAACATGAAGTTTGACGTACAGGTGTGACACATTTCATGGTAAGGAATAGCGTCGATCTTGGTGCCTGGGCTAACCATAAACAATATGTAATAGACTCTTTGGTCGAAGTGATGGCTGCCCTTGTTTTTGCGTAGTGATACATAGGCGCCTCTCAAACCTTCGAAAGAAAAGGAAGAAGTATTTAAAGATGTATATATTTACAAGTTGAAGTTCAAGCAGAATTGAACCAGTCTTGCTCTAAACTAGTAAATAGAAGCTTGAAATAAGTATTTTTTGGATATGCGAGAAGTTCGAAGTTGTAAAAAAGTGGCTCCAAATAATATCGTATCAAGACTAAATGACAAGGTGAAGCTACAAGTGACGCGGTGCGACGTCTACGCATTGTTGACGGTGTGGCCGTTAGGCCAAAAGCCCCCATACGCATATGCGACTAATGTAATATGTAGTCGCATGTGACGAATTTGTTTTACTGTATTTGCTATTATCGTACGAAATCAATAAGAACCCTAAAATAGGAACAACGTACAATATTAAATTGCGTTGACAGGACTATTTTGAATATGAGCTTTTTTAGCGTAGATAGAAGTTTCTAAGGTGTCACTCTGAAGTAGAGGGTCTTAATGCTTACCACAAAGCGTACAAGGGATCAAAAAAGAGATAACTTGAAAGTAAATGAAAAAATAACGTTCGGTTAATCATTTTTAATTTAGGGTAACGACTTACTTGTGTACACTTATAAACCGTAAGTAGTGAGTTTAAATAATAAATATATAGCTTTACATCAACATGTTATCATCAACCGATAATTTGAACCTACCGTTTAATAAGAGTCGCCAGAACCATGAAGTCACAGGTGGGGCTTCAAAGCAGACACATGTTTCGGTAACCTACAGAATTTGCTCATTCGCACAGATCTTTATGCAACGTGTTGTAGTCATCTAATAGGCTAATGAAGCTGCCCATACACAATAATGCAACTAAAATAGCTGACTGTTACTTCATCGTTCCCTTTTCTGTTTACCGCTAAGAAATATTGAACCGTAGTATAGTAAAATTCAGAGCCTGACGAAGACAGCCAAAGGTCGTAATAATGAAAAGCATAAAAAACATGACTGTATGCAGAGTGTTAGAATATACAGCATAAGCAATTGTTGACTGCGGTTACAGATACGAGGCTGAAGCGAACACTTGTTGGCCGATCCTAGCCAAAATGAACCTGGTTAGGTGGAATTGTAGCTAAGGAGGAGAATCCACACAGTACGAAATTAAATACAGAACACCTTAATTCGTGTAGATCTCGTATGGAGAAAGCCGCTGCTACAAGCATTTGGTCACTGATCGTCATAGAGGACTGTTTTCAGTGGTAATGGATAGCAAGAGCTTGCACGGGTAAACCGCTTGACCAAATGCGCGGGATATATTTATAGTATTTACGCACTGGGCCGTTGAAATTTTAATTACTGATGTTGTCAGTTAATCATAGTGTATAGAAACTCTTGCTAGCCAAAAGGATGGAGTTCATCATAGAAAGCTGACTCCGATCTGTCGCTGAGAGGCACGGTCTGCTCGACGAAAACCAGTATATTTTCATAAAGAACTAGTCGGTTCTACTGTGCAGGGTAATGCGGACACGCACGACGAGCGTCCACTGTCTTTCTGATAATATTGGTCGCTGTAAAAACGCATTTAAGAGTATAATGTGAAAGGATATTTTAACTTCTTCGCACCAATAAAACACCCCGCAATACTTCACCCGATCGCTTTCAAACTATCTCACTGAAAGCTCAGGTAGTAAAACGAACTCAACCTTTCCAACTACTGGAAAAGATGTCGTCGGTTTAGGCTAATTGTTGAAGGGAAAAGGTATCCAATTTGATGCAACACAAGGCAACTAAAGCAATTGAGGTATCTCTTGACTTGGTTAATTTAATGCCGAGTACTCATACGCGGGAGAATTAGCGGATTGTTTGGAACGTCAGTATGGACAATTTTCAATACAGCCTCAACTTCGGCCAAACAATTCTGGAGAAGGCCCAGCCAACGCCTGCCCTTTGGGTGATACAGGCCCATGAAACAGTTTGTATTCAGACAGCCTTGGTTGCCACCGGCACTATCTTATGCAATCTGGAAGCAATGAAAATACCAAAAGTAAAAAAAAAAAACATAGAGGACCACGGGTAAAAGACGTTGACAGAACGGCTAGCAAAATGGTCAGGTATTAGTGGAATTGCACCCGGAACAGTAGAACGGAGCGTTATTTGGAAAATATGAACATCAATTGAACGCCCGGGAGAGGGGTGAGTAATTTATTTTTCCACTCAGTTCCTCACACGACACGGAAACTTTAAAGATTATCTGTTTCGGATCGAGAAAACTCTTTTAGACATATGCGTCCACTGCAGATTGGACGCCGAGAATAATGCTTCCCACTACTTGGCCATAGCGGACATAAAAGACATCCGCTTTTACACTACCTATCCAACAGTATAGAAAACTGGAAAAATGCCAAAAAATCAACAAGAGAGACACTACGCGAAAATGATAGACTACACAAAATTAGATAGATATTCTTTTAGGCAGAAAAGGACGTAACTCTAGGATCTGGCTTACAGAGCAGCGGTGAGAGACTTTCTTGCCGGCCAGGACCAAAACCGTCCGGGAAGGTAGGCAAGTGCAATGAAATCTACGTGGATAATCGAGAATAAGCAAACTGTGGTCTCGGCGGAACAAAGTTTAAACGTTGAGACTGAACCCTATACTTGGCCCACAAGGAATAGGCTTTGTTCTAGTGATGTTCGGCCATGTGTAATTATTATTACTGAGACCCTCTTAGAAAAATTACATGATGGGTAGTCGCAAATAGTTGGCAAATAGTGGGAATTTCTTTCCAAACAATTTTTATGCTGGATGTAGTGTCCACTTACTTATTCATACTTATATTTAAAAAAAAATATATATAGAGGTCTACTATTTCCCGAGTATTAGTGTTTTTGAAAGTCGTGATCGTGTAGGGTAGGGTAGTGTACATTAAATTAACACAGCTAGTCGCCACATATTTGAATAATAGTTCAAGACGCTATTGACTTACATTACGACCTTCTGTAGTCCATCAAACGTCCAACCTTCGTCCACATAGCAGTCTAGCACTTTTGCTGCGCCGTTGATAGATGAGAACGCTGCACAAAAAAAATTACCACAATTTGTCAGAATCTAAAATTAAATATTTACATACTAAATATGGAGTAGTAGTACAAGATGCATATTTATTAGGAAATGGTGTACCTGATGCAAACCCACACTTAACTTGACCATTTATTTAGCTACAAAAATAAATGTTTGCGTTTCCTTAAAAACATTCTAAAAATAGATTTCGATTGCTAACCTACCGATATATTTGTGATTTTATTAGATTTGTACGTATATGCCGTCTTACCGATGCGGATAAGGGGTCAAAAGTCACTCGCTTATAAGACGTATCCTTATTTGCGCGTTGTTACGAGTGTCTGTGTTTGCGTATTTATTGAAGAAACAACACCTTCTAGCATTCTTGCATTGATCTGAAGATGCAGACATGCCGCTCGCTGAAGACCATAATTGTTAAAATTCCAAATGGATACTCAAGCAGCTTACTCAAACGCAATACTTGTTAGCGGCAAGCTAACTCTAAATATGCACGGCTAGCTCGTCTACGACAGCGATGCCTCCATGCGCACGCTATTGGTTTAATCATTTTCTGCATCAACTTCAGCTAATCAGGCAAGAATCTCAATGATCAATATTTTTGCCTCGACTATAAACGAGAACCGGGTGTACTTCAAGCGATTCTATAAGTTAGTACAGTATGTATGAAAAAGTCATATTCATCAACAATAACAAAATTCATCCACGATGGGAATCGAACTCAGATCATTATGTTCTTTGAAACTTCAATGAATATGAACGCCATCACCGGGACACTTTCTGCCAACTACAACAGCTTTATAGCAGTACAAGTTAGCAAAATTCAAACCGAAGTTACGACAGAGCGTATTTGGCGCTGTCGCAAATGCAAAAAATTAGTTGACTTAGCATCTAGCGGGCACAGAAAGACTAAGCAAAGCTCCATTATTTAAGCCTTTTTTTGACTAACTGGGTTCGATGAAAGACAATGATTCGTAAACAACCAGTTTTACATATCACTGAGAATGCTTCAAGATTATTTGAAAGAACATCTAGTGAAGACACGCAATGTCATACTCTATTACATTATACACGGTTTCCTTCGTATAATTTTTATACACTATATATGAGACTTTGGCATGTACTAACTGTCGTTATTCGCTCTGTGAGATTAACCCCGAATTATATTATTTGTTTTCTGTCTCTATTACGCATCACTGACACGCGTATCTTTTTATAACTACTGTGTCATGTTTTGCTGATAACTTTAGAGGGTGTCATCGTAATAAGTAGATTAGTTATCTTCCTAGACCTATTATTATTTCAAGCGGCTCTAAAGTGATAACAGTTAATTAAACGAAATTCAGTTACTAAACTAAGAAGCATTTACTTATTATTAATTGTAAAAACAACGGATTATTTCAAAATTATTTAAGAAAAGATACACACATGGCTTTATACCTCAGAAGACATGACGGCTCCTTGATTTTAGTCATTGAGCCTTCGTTCACTCATTGCAAATTTTAGTCTCTATTATATTAGATTGAAAAAATTCTCGCTTTTATCATTGAATAAAATAATAAATACCACATTTTTCATTTTAAATACAATATAGCCCATTATTGTTCACGACATTATCCCATTTCTTCACCAAATGATATGCGCCGTTTTACCAGGAAGTAGCTGATTTCGTCTCAAAGAAGTTATCCATCCACATTTTGAACTGCTGACTTACGTTGAAGGTGAGGCATGAACGTGATTGTCCAGTGAACAGAAAAGATGGTGAATTTGTTGTCACAAGTGAACATATTGAGGGTGCCACTAAAATTCCCATTCGAAGTGCAGGAGGGCAGTTTGAACACAGTAGGATGACCTAACCTCGGCCTTTTTTTCCTAGTAGCTTGATCGAGTCGATACAACTACACAAAAGAAACGTGCCGGCGAACCGGCAGGTTCGTAGGAGGCGATTCGCAGCAAATGTGGTCCTTGCAGTGCCACCAAACGCAAAACATAGCCTTGGTTGAACGAGGATCTACTTAAGCCCTGGGCCTCGGCCTTTGTCCCGCAGCCATTCATTTTGATTTTTGGTTTATGTCGGCGTACAAGCACCACTTCTGATTTTCGGTAACAATTATATGTCACAGTTGGTCACTGTGGCTGCGTAACGCTCGACAGTGAGCGGGATGTAAAGTTGCGACATTAAACCATAACACCTTATTGAAGTTCAGGAGGTACACAACTTCAAGCTTCTGTGTAAGCTCTAAGGACCTGAGGTGGTTAACAACGGTCGTGTGAGTGTAACCTATCTTTTCGGCCAATTTCTGCAGCAAGTCGGTAGTCTTCCTTCAAAAGTGTTTTCATATGGTTGTTATCAAACTCAGACGGTCAGCTAGAGCTAAGGACCTTTTTTAGGTCGGACTCAGTTTTCAAGGGCAAAATATTATTGAATAATACTTTTAGGCAAGTGTCCAGGATTGTTGGCCTCGAGGAAATGGGCAGTACAGGAAGTGTTGACAACGTACTTTTTCTATCTGGAACACTTATCTTTAAGGAAACCTTTTGATTTGAAGTCGCACTCACAACACAATATTGCTATAGGGCACTGATAGACCAGAAACAGCGCTTTCAAACGGTATATCAGCGGCAAACAAGGCGGAAGTAAAAGTGGGAAAACATTCAAGTGCAGTTTAATACAATCAGGTTATAAAACCTCACTGTACATTACAAAAAGGATATTAGGAGCTATTTCATGCTAGAAGGCAGCTGACAGACGTAGCACACTTTTAAAGCCTGCCATGAATCATCCCAAACGCCGAAAAATACAGGTCAGGTAACAACACGGTCTAAATATTTTATCTATTGCATATTCTCCAACAGACGAACAGGCATGTTGCATCCGCTGGGCTATGCGCTTGTTCTTAATTAGCTTGACTACACTGATTGTTTATGTACAATGAACTAGCTACATCATCAGTCCTTGCTGTCCAGTGTTCTGTTTCGTAACAACTCACAATATATATATATGCCTGTTTCGCAAGTTTTCAGCAACTTCGATGGGTCATATTCCGAATGTAGTATAGCATACAAAAACTCGTGCGAGCATTATTTACTCAAACAAAGGACGCGTTTTATTCATGTCGTGGAAGATGAATGATCGTTTTTCAGTCATTAGCCACATTAGTAACACTCTGCAGTACTCGCGGTGGCAAGATTTGACAGAAATGACACTGAAATGGTTGGAATGGGGCAAAAAAGTGTAGCGTTCGAAATTGATGTGGACACTGAAAAGTATATGAATATGCTACTAGACATCATGCACGTTAACGTATTGCATCAGTGTTTATGAAGAAAGCCTGTTTGTTATTTTCGTCTGCGCTGTAGCTATCAACTACAATCGGAAGATTGTCTATTTTGCAAAAATTGACAGCACTACCAATAATGGCAGCTGTATAAGCAGACCCGTGAATTTTTCGACTTTGGTACACAGTTTATAAGATAGATATCAAGTGTAACGGCGTGGCCTCGATGATCGTTTACGCTACAATTAAGGCTCCCTTTCCGAACACTTTAAAGATGGCGCTCCTTTAATTTTGACAAGTGCTAGGCCTTGACACATGCATACTTATTCACCAATTTGGTTTGACATCTTGAACGTTCGATTCTTAGACTGTCTTACGTTTGCTGTCATATACTGTATTCTCAGTTTCTCCATTGCTGAAAAAAGGGCAGCTGAATTTCTCAAGCACTGGGCAGTAAAAAGACCATAGCCAACCGTCTGAATATATGCATTTGATTGTTGGGACGACTGAAAAAGAATTAATGACCTCGCAAAATTCGTAACGGAGTAGGGGAAGGGATGCCTTATCATCTTCAGCAGCAAAAATGGTTAAAGCATACTTAAAAAGAAAACGTTCCGTTTCCCTCGCAACATTTGAAATGAGATGAAAGATAAAACTGTTATATCTCGCTATACTTATCGTACGAACCTCTTTGATAGCCGTTTAGCTATGCAAATGGATTTAGGTATCATGGATGTAATAGGTGCGATGGTCGCAGCCATCGGGTCGAGAGGTCTCCTAAAAATATATGATAAAATATATAAATATTTTCATACATCCTAAAACAACAGTAAACATACTGATAAAAAATATATTTTAAAAATCTTAGACCATGTTCCCTTTAAGTAATGCTCATTATTTTGTGTGCTGTTGTAATTTTATGGATCCAAGAAAATTTAATTAGATAATGTATTCTGTGATAGAGACGGGTCTTAGGAATGTGCTCGTACGATCGATATTGACGTGCATTTATCTGCTTCACGCATGCACATATATGCAATACGATAGTATACGTAGAGACCGACTTTATAATACCTCATTTCAGTCCGGGAAGTCAAAGAACCGATGCAACGACTACCGCACTGTGAGGCCCTGCGAGGTTGTTTCAAATAAAGGAAAGACCTTGTCAACACAGTATTAATAACTACTACCCCTGCCCCAAGTTGTTATTAATAGATGTAGATAGTAATAATTAAACTGTATGAAGCGAACTATTCTGTTCAATATATTACGCCAGAAGTTTTTTTATGCCTATTTGTTATACGTTGAACAGCTGTGCCGCTTGTTTTATGGATTTCACTAGCCGACAATCGGTGAAACTTATTAAATCATTGATCGTGCAGCGTGAGACACACCCAACAGTTCCTCGTCACGGAAGTATAAAAGACGGTCTTGGTGGTAAATTTTTTATTATTTCGGTAACATAGATACCTGGTGCGCAGTTGCCTAGACGTCATCACCACACTCAAGGTTAATAGGATCACCGAAGTCTGGTAACGTTGATATATGATAGAATTGAACTAATCGAATCGGAGATAAAGAAACGAAATCTGAAATAAGTCACTAGTCTGACACATAAATTAATGCCTCTGCTGGAGAAAGAGGTACCAAGTGAGACAAATTTTCGCTTTGTGAGTATAAAGCCATCCTATTCGTTGTTTACGCACCCAGAGATGGTA